CATAGATGAGTCCTGAGATGAATGATTGAAGCATTGGTCTGTCTGTACTTATACACTGACACCAAGCCATTAAAGGGGAGGTGGTGTAGTCTAGTGGTTAAAGCATTTGCTCATTTGTCCGAAGGCCTGGGTTCGATTCCTGACAAGGGTACCATGTGTGAAACCATTGGTGTCCTTGCTGGTATATTACTAGAAAATGGCGTAAAACAACGCTCACTCAATTAATTTAATTGTGCCCGACATGGGTACAATGTGTGAAGCCCATTTCTGAAGCTGTGATATTGCTGGAATATTGCTAAAAGCGGCATAAAATCAAACTCACTCACTCATTTTATTGTGTTGAATCCGTCCTTACCAATTCATGTCAAGTGTGATGAATTTTTTTTTGAATTTTTACACAAACTTTTTTTATATCTTAACCAACCCAAGCAAATTGGTTGTCAAAAACCTGTTAGCCATAAAATAGGGTGTGGTCTTGTCAGGGGGGGCCTGGGATCAGCTGATCAGCTGAGTGAATCGTGTGGGAATGATGGTCATTACCTGCCTCACACAGGATCTTGACCTTGCAGGGACAGTCACATGGACAAAAGATTATTGGCAGAAAGTTGTAGGGGGTAGGATCATTAGAATAACTCCATACAGACTGATCTGTTAACCTCTGTGTGACATGCGAGGGTATTTACTTGATGAGAATATGAGAGAAAGTAAAATGTGTTTGTTAATCTGGCAACGAGGTTGTGAGAGTGACAGAAAATGAGACCTTTGGATAATTTCACAACTATATTTTAGTTGTCCTTCATAGAATATTTTAATTTCAATTCTATTTAAAAAAAAAAAAAATTCATTATTTAATTATTTCCGTAAAATATATTTGTTAATTTTTAAAAGATTTTAATAAATGTATCGTTTTCAGTCTTGTCAAACCTTTAGGGATGATGTAAAAATAATTATTGTGCATTTTGAGAGTGGTCGACAAAACTCTGTAACCTTGTAGGGTGTGATATGGCTGACATGATACCTTTGGCAAGGTTGCAGACATGTTTTTAGATGATCTTTTCACCAGCCCTCGTTTGCAGCGATCTTAATCTGTATTTGTACAGATGAGCCGGCAGTTGTCTGTCAGTGCGGTGATCAGGAGCTTGGCAACACAGACACTTTGCAATCATATTGACAGACAGTCATATTCAAGTGTCTGCAGTGCAGGGTCGACCAGGGGGAGGGAGGGTGACACTATCTGTATTTGGGTATGGGGCAAGTAGGTACAGGGAGGGGTGGCTACATTCTCTAGTTGAGAGGGTGCTTGTGGGGGTCAGGCCAGAACCCAGGGTGGTTCTTTAAATGTGGTGAGGTGAAATAGGGGTTATCATCGTGTTCGAGATAATTGCACTTATATAGCGACGGGCATGCATGTGTGTGTGTGGCGGCTTGTATGACTCCGGACGATTGACGGTTTTCTGATGCCTTGTCACCCACTGAGATACCATATCGCAGTTTAACATGGATACTGACACGGTATACTGTCTCAGGCTGACCAGTCTTTGTTTTATCCCCTTAATGTCAAGCAACAGGAAGGGCAAAAGCTGAAGCAACTTTTGTATTTTGGTATGACACAGCTGGGGATCAAACCACTGACTTTGTTTTCCATAAAATTGTGTCCACCTCGTCATCCGTCAACTTCTAAGTAATGCCTATCAGACAATTCACTGACCTTCCGCACATGCACAATAATTTTAAGTCTTCTGGTTGATTAATTTTTCAATAAAATTAAATATAATAATAAAAAAATGTTTTGTATTTTTTAATATTAAATATTATAAAATTTGTATTATCATCATTATCATTAATATTTTTTTTAATTTCTCATTTTGTGTTGAGTAATTTGAGTAATTGCTGTAGGAAATAATGGATGTTATATTCAAATTTTGATCAGTCTTTTCTGCATCCATGCTAATTGCATCATCTGAGCCAACATAGTTACTCTTTTGTATGGTCAGCACCATACCCGTGCTCGTGGGTTTGAAGTGGTAAACGTCTGAGACCTGCATCACTTCAGGCTGATTATGTATCTAGTCTTGTCAGCACCATACCCGTGCTCATGGGTTTCACCGAAGTGGTAAACGTCTGAGACCTGCATCACTTCAGGCGGATTATGTTTCTAGGTTTGTCTGCACCATACCCGTGCTCGTGGGTTTCACCGAAGTGGTAAATGTCTGAGACCCGCACTACTTTGGACTTTCAACACGCCTTGATATGACTGGAATAATGTTAAAAGCGGATTTAAACCAACCTCACTCACTCACTCTTTTGTATGACCCACAATAATGAAAGAGGGACCACCAAAGCCTCTGACAAATGTTTGCTTTCAATACTTGTCTTTCTGTCCAAGTTATCAGTTTGTTTCCAAACACTGATACACACGTTTGGCTGTTGTAGACAAGATCCTGGATGGTGCTGACAATGGCAACTCTCGTGCCACACCCAACAATAACATGTCTGATAAACAGACTTTTGATTCTTATGTTTGACATACAGTCTCCACGAGAGATGTGCTCCCCATCTGGAGGCGTTGTCAGTCGCCCTGTTTTGTATACATACAGTGCTGTACACACAAACACATACCAACTCATACACACAGAGACACCCTTGCACTGGTCACTGTAATTCGGGCAGTGATAGACTTGCACAAGTCTCTAAGGCCTAATTATTAGTTTACAACATAAGTTCTAGATTATGTAAATAATAAGAACAAGTTGTCCCATCAAGAGACTGGAGTCCACATATGTAGACTTGCCTATTAGGAGGATAGAATTATTAGTCATCCATGGACTTTTCTTTCAGTACAGCCTTTGAGCAAGGCTAATGTCTTTGATGGTATCCAATGTATAAAGCAATGTTATGCAGATTTCGGTCGATTGCAGGATTTGTAAAGCTTGTTCACTGCCAACTCATTGTCAACGGATATTTTCCAAATCTTTTCATGTTTTTAATCAAGGTGCTCACGTGATTTGATTCACTTCGTGATGTAAGACCCGTTTACCCGTGACTTGTAGTGTAACCATGTAGTTCTAGATCATTTTTGTCATTAAACGATATACCACATGACCAACAACGGATCCAGCTACTTCTGTGGGTACCCTGGTCTTTCTCAGAACCCACCCGACCCGACCTTGAGTTACCCGTCGCAGCCCTAGCTTTTAGCAGAGGTTTATTATGATTATGGAAATGGTTTGTTACTTTTGTTTAATATGGTTATGAAAATAGTTCTTGGCAGGGTTTTTTATTGATGAAACATACCATATTTATAATCCTTTTAATGCAATATCTAAATGAAATCTATGTAACTACGAACATAAATGTATTTAGGAGCAGATTGTACATGTGTTTCAATAGAGATTTATGGCTTATATTTACACAATGTTGTGAGACTATTCAGGCGGTCTTGTTTTTTTAAAGAATTATCTGAAACATCAAATACTTGCGTGGCAAAGGCAGTCCTATATCTCTTTCCAAACCCATTGCATGCATTTTGAATATTACGCAACGTTATTATTATTGCTGGCGTTCTATATTTAATTTCTTTACCTTTCATTTACATTAACCTGAAAACACATTACATTCCCCACACTTGACATGTTAGACTTGTTGAATAACTGATTTCAATAGCAGAGCTTGTGTCTGCGTCACCCCTATCTCCAGTTCTGTGCTGCCTCCGTGGGAACATGGAGAAAACAGGTGCTATCTCAAACAAAAACTGACTTTGTGGGGTTGGAGTCTCAGTGCAAGTGATGAGGTTTTCTGCTTAAGCAAGCAAGGTATAGAAATGATGTTGGCAGATGATGTTGGAGTATTATGTGGTGGTCACATGACTTGTGATGTAGATGGGGTGGGATGGGTTGTTGGGGAGTTTGTGTCATATGTGAAATATTTGATGGTGCAAGTGATCATGCTTGGTGACATCCGAGGTTTCAAGAGACAGAATACCTATGTGTGTGATTGTGATGTTGAGATTGGATCATCAGTTTATGATTTACCTGATTTACCTACCCTATTGTGTATTGTTTTATTTTTATCCCCCGCCCAAAAAAGTTGGCGGGGGATATAGAAACGGGCTCCGTCCGTCCGTCAGTCACGTTTCGTTTCCGGAGCATAACTCATAAACCGTTCAATATTTTTTCATCAAACTTTGCAGGTTTGTCAGGTATATGCTGAACTGGTGCCTTTTGCTATTTAGAAATTTTAGAAATTTTATTTTTTACGTTTCCATGGCAACAAGATGGACTTAGGTTCTGTGAGGGTAGGGTTCGTTTCCAGAGCATAACTCATAAACCGTTCAATATTTTTTCATCAAACTTTGCAGTTTTGTCAGGTATATGCTAAACTGGTGCCTTTTGCTATTTAGAAATTTTAGAAATTTTTATTTTTTACGTTTCCATGGCAACAAGATGGACTCCAAACTCTTCTTTTTTTTACAATTTCCATGACAAGTTCCACCTCGGTTAAAAAAGGTTAGGGTTTGTTTAGATTTAATTATGTCATAAATTCTGCAACAGGGGCGGGGGATATAGCCATGTTAGTGGCAAACTTTTTATTGTTTTATTAACATATGATGTTTAATTCATGTTGGTATGTAATGTCATGCCTGATTGTACTGTAACCATGTGGCAAATCATTCTGCCAATCAAATTGTCAGGTGTGGTTTCTTATTTGTTACAAATTGATTGGTCAGATGGATGTGATGATAACCACTAAAGATGATATGATATACTATGATTTTCATATTTCATGGACATATTATTTGAAGTCCTCAAGGTACAAGTTAAATTTGGTTTTTGGATGGTTTTTTTGTTCTAAATATTTAGTTTTTTTACGCTTGTGGCATCTCACAATGATAAAAATGATGACGAAGACAGGAAAGACAAGTTAAATGAGTTGATTCTTTCTTGAATCAATCATCCAGTTTAGGATGTCAGTCCACATCTAACTTTTATCATTTATTGCAGGATCGAGAAAAGCTAGAGCAACTAAATGAAATTCTCAGCGGCTACAGTCAAAATGGCCTACCGCCTCCACCTCCTCTCCTGGAGCTGGGCAAGGAGCCAATCAAAGAGGAGGCCTATGTCCTAGAAAGCCACTGGAGCGCCATCGTTGACCATGCATCGGTACGTGACATTTCATCCAAATTCGGTACATGTATTAACCAGGAGCTGAAGTGGTACCTTTTGTTATTGTGGGGTCGGGGGATTTGTCGTCTTCTGATGACTCTTGTTTAGTATATGCAAAATCAAAATTCCATAAGACCATAAGAAAAATTATTAGATTGTCATCTTCATCCTCCTGCCAACCCCCACCTTACATCATGTCCCTGCAGATGAAGAATATCACATTGTGTTGTCCCCCCGTGTCTACGTATTTATCAAACGTTCTTGCTTTCTGTGAGGGGCGGTCCCGAAAGGTCGACCATTAATGGTCAATATTATGCTAATCTGCTTCGGCAACTTCGTGAGAACATCAGGGACGGTCGGGTAGCCTTGTGGTTAAAGCGTTCGCCCATCAGGCCGAAGACCCGGGTTCGATTCCCGAAATGGGTACAATGTGTGAAGCCCATCCTCCCCCTGTGATATTGCTGGAATATTGCTAAAAGCGGTGTAAAACCATATTCACTCACTCACTCCTTTCTGTGAATCAGTCATTGGCGGTTCAAGTACACAGATGCCTTGAAAGTTTATTTGAAAAAAGAATAATATAAAAAAGCTTCATGTCTCCTAATAAAATTAAGGAAAGTCTGATAATTAATTTTTTGGCTTTTTGCAAACAATGTTTATGACATTTATGGGAAATAGGACTACACATTTCACAAACAACATAGAAAATCATTCCGGCAACAATGTCCTTCATCTTCTTGTTGACCTCTGTGAGTGACCTCCATATTCACGAACCGTTGACAAATGTTTCAGTGGCCAATTAAAGTAACAAGCCTCTGACCAGAAAGTTTGTCACCCGTATAAGCTTGTCTCCCAGAACCATCCCAAACACATAAACACCTCACAAAGCTAAATCTCAGCTCCTGTAACCTTATCATTTTCAGTTAGCCCCTAGAAATTATATGTCTTTATGAATATGATGTGCGTTAATATGTGTTGGTGGTCCGTGAGATTCATGCCGGGAGAGTAAGTCACCCGAACAGACAGGTCATCTTGTACATCTTGTAGAGGTCATAGAATCAGATAAAACTTGTCGGAACATTAACTCTGCTAAAAGTGCTTAGTTTATTACACGAGCATCCTTTCACAATATGAGCAGACTGGCCACGCGGAAAAAATGTGTTTTTCTTTCATGGTGTTTCCAGTCCAGGGTGTTGGAGGCAATTATTTTGACATCAGTTTTGATGTTGAGGTTGATGACGAAGAAGGTTCAAGTTTAAGTTACAGTAAACTATGGTTATAACAAGCTCAAAGGGACCACTAATTTTAGTTCATAATAACTGTAGTTCATTTTAAGAATGTAAACAGTATATATACAGCGAATGACCTTGTCTAAGAAATGAGTTTGTTATATCGGTCAGTTCATTATAAGCGTGTATGTTATAAACATAGTTTACTGTACTTGATAACTAAAATAAAGTTGGAAGAAGAGAAATTCAAACAAAAACTGTCAAGATAGCATATTTCAAGAGAAAACAGTACATCTTTGGAAATATCTTTTCATTTGATTAGCTTACAGAAGTCTCAACAATATGTTGTTTGGAAATAGCATATGTAAGTGAATGGGTGAATCATTTCATATTCTGGTGGTACCAGATAATGAAGTGAAATAATTATGGATATGATATCGGTTTTAGAAGACTACCACATTTAGTATCGTCAGTTTGTTTTGTTTGTTTGTTGTTTAACGCCGCACTCAGCAATATTCCAGCTATATGACGGCGGTCTGTAAATAAGTCTGGACAAGACAATCCAGTGATTGATATCATGAGCATCGATCCACGCAATTGGGATACGATGACATGCATCAACCAAGTCAGCGAGCCTGACCACCCAATCCATTTAGTCACCTTTGGGACCAGCATTTGGTTGTATATTCTTAACCAGAATCCCCCTGGGGAACAGTTGTGAAGGGTTTGTTTTGGGCACAAGTTGTTGTCCATTGATTAAGAATCTTGTTCTTTCTATTACAGCAGTTGTCTAAACGCCAACATGACCAGCAGGAAGCGATCTGGGAGCTCCTGCAGACAGAGCTGTCCTACCTCTCACAGATCCGGGTTATAACAGAGGTCAGTTATAGTTGTTATAACGTGACATGAAAATATAATGTGTCAGGAACTATGAGTATGACATGGTTGTGCGATATAACAGTTGGAACATGGACAGATGGAATATGACAATAACATGGTGTAAGATACCACTTGTACATCATTCGTGACCAACTCGTGTTATTCCGGGACAAGCTGAATAGCGACTCGTGCCATGGCCATTTTTGCGACTGGATTCCGTCTTTGCGCAAACGGGCATACCTGAAATAATTGTCAACTCGTCGCGTTATGGTTCACATATATTTCCCCATATATTATATATATTTCAGATGCAATTTAAGGCACATATGGACATGCGGAATTATACAGTATGATTGAACACATTTAATTGTGCCTTGGGTATATATTTAGATGCAATACATATGTAAATTCAAAAATTATTTCTGAGGGATTCTTTGACGAAGAACTTGAAATCATACGCGCATTCTGATTGGTTTGTCGTATTTTCGCACATAACATTCATCGATAGGGAGACGAGTCTCCTTGCAGGTTACGGAAAGGGGCGAGTGGTGACGAATGCTTGTACATATGAAAGGAAGATATAAGTTCTAACATGTAGATGAATGTCATGAATATAACATGGGTAGAAGATATAACAGTTATTGTTAGTGAGTTGAGTTTATTGGTGCTTTTAATATTATTCCAGTTATATCATGGCATTATAACAGTTATGACAAGGGCAGGTGAAAATATGAATAGAATGGGGTTGTACAGTATAAGGTTATAACGGATGTAATATATATCAGTTATAAAATGGCCACATGAAAATATCTTGAATAAAACAACGAATCTTTCTGTGACGGAACCTATACCCCTGTTATGGGTTTTCAGACACTTAAGAAACATTCATAGTTTTCTCTCTAATCACATGAACAACTGTAAAACATCTCATTCACTTATAAAAGATAACTTTCTCTTAAAAACAAGCCATCATCTGAGTATTTACAATGTCTGTGTGATGCTACACCCCCTGTTATAGCGGGATTAATCACGATAAACATGGCCGTCTGGAAACGTTTGATCCAACGATACTAAAATTAATATTCTCCAAACTCCTTGAGATTGGTCTGGTATCAAGATTTTCATAATTAAGTGTTATTAGCAACATGATTTTATATGACTTATCCTCAAAAAATGCGCACAAAAGTTCACATCTTAAAAAAACGTAGGCATGTGATTACATTTATCAAAGAAGATTAATGTATACATGTTGGTAAATATTAGTAACCCTCTCCCAAGTTTCATTTCTAGGGAGTGTTAACATGCCCCCACAAAGCTGACATCACGTTTAGATACATACCCCCACGGTCGTAGTGACACGGCCCAGTGCTTGTGCATGAGAACACCTATATTAACCGATAGTAAATATATAGCCTCAAAGAGATTGGCATGTCAGAGGCCTAATTGGGAAGGGTATTTATAGCGTTTGTCAACAACTTCCATCGCAAATATCAGGTTTACGGCTTCAGAGCTTCTTGTTCCTTCAAAGAGAATCTATATCCAATATACTTTACACCCAGTACACTTGCCAGCCTTTATATGCCTGTGGAATTTAGGTATGTTTATGTTTAGTAATGTTGTGCTTTGTGAACATCTCAGAAGAGCTGGGTTGGTAGGGTGGTTAAAGTGTTTGCTCATCATGCTGAAGTCCTGGGTTCGATTTCTCATTGCTGGGTCGGATGCGCTGTGCAGAGTTGTGTCCCTTGGGCACGCCAGAAAATTATGATTGTGGGTTCGAATCCCGGTTCGCCCCAATTATGTTTTTAGGTCTGTCAGCACCATCCCCGTGCTCGTGGGTTTCACCGAAGTGGTTAACGTCTGAGACCTGCATCACTTCGGGCTTTCCTCCCACATTAAGCTGACACGCCGCAATCTAACTGGAATACTGTTAAAAGCGGCATAAAACCCAACTCACTCACTCACTAACCTCATGTGGGTTTATTGTATGAAGCTTTTTTCGGGCGTCTGTCTGGGATATTGCTAAAAGTGCCACAAAACTCACTCACTCACTCACAAGATTAGTTCACAGGGGAAGGTTTTGTTTTGTCTCTGGTGAGAAATATCATTTAAATTTAAGAAGAGAAAACAAGTGTTTTCATGGGGTTGTTTTTGAAAAAGTTCAGTGCCTCAGAACCAAGAATATTCTTCTTTTTACCCCTTCCCTCCTGCCATGGCAGCCATATTGGATTTGTCATTATTGCCTGTTACTTATATCATTAATAAATATGATATGCAATAAGTATGTGGTATACAAACATATACATATAACATATAATAATTTTACCAAGATTTTGATGTTCGCATAACCATGTTTATGTTGGCTTGTTTCATGTTTCATTGTATCAGAATTTCTGTTATATGTTATAGGCAAATTTTCTTCGATAAAATTAGGTGAACTATTAATAAGTTTTTTTTATGAGGAATATTTGATTGTAAATACCATCTGTATATTGATTTCAGGTCTTCCAAGCTTGCCTTCTCAATGTGCAGAGTGACTCTCTTCTTAATGAGGTAAGAACCACTTCCGAAAAAGCTGAATTTTACGATTTTGCCAAAAAGGAGGGTTTGAAATATTGAAGCATCGAGGTACTTGTCCAATGATACATTATTGTATCATAAGGTTATATCCCGATATGAAGCAATACATGTTTACAACGTGCAATTAGTCCAAAGCCATTTTGTTCTGAAAGGCTTGGTTCTTTTATATGTGGGGTAGCCTAGTGCTTAAAGCGTTCGGTCATCACGAGGACTGCCCGGGTTCGAATCCCCACATGGGTACAATGTGTAAAGTTCATTTCTGGTGTCCCTGCCATGATATTGCTGGAATATTGCTAAAAGCGACGTAAAACCGTACTCACTCTCTTTATATGTGTCCCACAATCACATTTAATGCATGTGATCAAATATTATAGAAAACGTAAATAGGTATTTTAAAAAATTATGATTTAGTTCATCCGGCATACCAGGCAGGGGTATCTAGTCATCATCTGGTCTGTCTGTCAGGCCGTATTTCGTTTCAAGAGCCTAACATGAAAACCATGAAAGATTTGTCATCTAAACTTGGTACTATTGCATTAACCAGGGGCTGAATTGGTGCCTTTTGCTATTGTGGGGGCCGGGGGGATTTGTCATCTTCTGATGACTCTTGTTGATTATGTAATTTATCAAAGATGGAATGGCAAATAAATAGATTTATTAATATTATTGACACTATGTTTTTCCTGATTATTGCCGGGGGCACAGGTGGCTGTGCAGAGTTGCGTCCCTTGGGCACGCCAGAAACCTATGATTGTGGGTTCGAATCCCGGTTCGCCCCAATTATGTTTCTAGGTTTGTCAGCACCATACCCGTGTTAGTGGGTTTCACCGAAGTGGTAAATGTCTGAGACCTGCATCACTTCGGGCTTTCCTCCCACATAAAGCTGACACTCCGTGATATAACTGTAATACTGTTAAAAGCGGTGTCACACCCAACTCACTCACTCACTCACTCCTGATTATTGCCCTTGGTTCCATCCGGTAACATCAGACACGAAAAATAATAGAAGGTTGCTTTATATAGCAGCTGTGTTGTTGACATGCAACTCACTGACTGACTCTGTGCAGATCGAGACGGAGAAGATGTTCAACAACATTGACGCCCTCCTGGCCGTCAACCGACAGCTGTGGGAACATCATCTCCTGAAGGTGCTGGAGGAGTCTCGACGTACCCGAGAGCCCTTCAACCCCACCCTCCTCAAACCCGGCTTCACCAAGGAGGTGAGTGTAGTGCTCAGTAGGGCCTGGATGATACACTAAGTCACAAATGGATCATGGTCCCAAAAGATGCATATCATAATAGTGAGGTCATGATACAATACATATAACAGTGAGGTCATGATACAATACATATAACAGTGAGGTCATGATACAAAACATATAATAGTGAGGTCATGATACAATACATATAATAGTGAGGTCATGATACAATACATATAACAGTGAGGTCATGATACAATACATATAACAGTGAGGTCATGATACAATACTTATAACAGTGAGGTCATGACACAATACATATAACAGTGAGGTCATGATACAATACATATAATAGTGAGGTCATGATACAATACATATAATAGTGAGGTCATGATACAATACATATAATAGTGAGGTCATGATACAATACATATAACAGTGAGGTCATGATACAATACATATAACAGTGAGGTCATGATACAATACATATAACAGTGAGGTCATGATACAATACATATAATAGTGAGGTCATGATACAATACATATAATAGTGAGGTCATGACACAATACATATAATAGTGAGGTCATGATACAATACATATAATAGTGAGGTCATGACACAATACATATAACAGTGAGGTCATGATACAATACATATAATAGTGAGGTCATGACACAATACATATAATAGTGAGGTCATGACACAATACATATAATAGTGAGGTCATGACACAATACATATAATAGTGAGGCCATGATACAATACATATAATAGTGAGGTCATGATACAATACATATAATAGTGAGGTCATGACACAATACATATAACAGTGAGGTCATGATACAATACATATAACAGTGAGGCCATGATACAACACATATAATAGTGAGGTCATGACACAATACATATAATAGTGAGGCCATGATACAATACATATAATAGTGAGGCCATGATACAATACATATAATAGTGAGGTCATGATACAATACATATAATAGTGAGGTCATGACACAATACATATAACAGTGAGGTCATGATACAATACATATAACAGTGAGGCCATGATACAACACATATAATAGTGAGGTCATGACACAATACATATAATAGTGAGGTCATGATACAATACATATAATAGTGAGGTCATGATACAATACATATAATAGTGAGGTCATGATACAATACATATAATAGTGAGGCCATGATACAATACATATAACAGTGAGGTCATGACACAATACATATAATAGTGAGGTCATGATACAATACATATAACAGTGAGGTCATGATACAATACATATAACAGTGAGGCCATGATACAATACATATAACAGTGAGGTCATGACACAATACATATAATAGTGAGGCCATGATACAATACATATAACAGTGAGGTCATGACACAATACATATAACAGTGAGGTCATGATACAATACATATAACAGTGAGGTCATGATACAATACATATAATAGTGAGGTCATGATACAATACATATAACAGTGAGGTCATGACACAATACATATAACAGTGAGGCCATGATACAATACATATAATAGTGAGGTCATGATACAACACATATAATAGTGAGGTCATGACACAATACATATAACAGTGAGGTCATGATACAACACATATAATAGTGAGGTCATGATACAATACATATAACAGTGAGGCCATGATACAATACATATAACAGTGAGGTCATGACACAATACATATAACAGTGAGGTCATGATACAATACATATAACAGTGAGGCCATGATACAATACATATAACAGTGAGGCCATGATACAATACATATAACAGTGAGGTCATGATACAATACATATAATAGTGAGGTCATGATACAATACATATAATAGTGAGGTCATGACACAATACATATAACAGTGAGGTCATGATACAATACATATAATAGTGAGGTCATGATACAATACATATAATAGTGAGGTCATGATACAATACATATAATAGTGAGGCCATGATACAATACATATAACAGTGAGGCCATGATACAATACATATAACAGTGAGGTCATGATACAATACATATAATAGTGAGGTCATGATACAATACATATAACAGTGAGGTCATGATACAATACATATAACAGTGAGGTCATGACACAATACATATAATAGTGAGGTCATGATACAACACATATAACAGTGAGGCCATGATACAATACATATAACAGTGAGGTCATGATACAATACATATAATAGTGAGGTCATGATACAATACATATAATAGTGAGGTCATGATACAATACATATAACAGTGAGGTCATGATACAATACATATAACAGTGAGGCCATGATACAATACATATAACAGTGAGGCCATGATACAATACATATAATAGTGAGGTCATGATACAATACATATAACAGTGAGGTCATGATACACGATCACAGACAGACGTACACAATCACAGATAGACGTACACAATCAAAGACAGACTTACACAATCACAGACAGACAAACACAATCACAGACAGACGAACAAAATCACCGACAGATGTGCACAATCACAGACAGATGGACACAGTCACAGACAGATATACACGATCACAGACAGACATACACCATCACAGACAGACAGACATACACAATCACAGACATACATACACAGTCACAGACAGATATACACAATCACAGACATACATACACAATCACAGACAGACATACACAATCACAGACAGATATACACAATCACAGACAGACATACACAATCACAGACAAATGTACACAATCACAGACAGACATACACAATCACAGACAGATGTACACAATCACAGACATATTGACACAATCACAGACAGATATACAAAATCACAAGCAGATGTACACAATCACAGACAGACATACACAATCACAGACAGACATACACAATCACAGACAGATGTACACAATCACAGACATATGGACACAATCACAGACAGATATACAAAATTACAGACAGATGTACACGATCACAGACAGATGGACACAATCACAGACAGATGTACACAATCACAGACAGACATACACAATCACAGTTATTATTGTTTTCGTACAGATGACAATAGAACCAAAATTTTCGATTCTTATGAAAATAAATGACAACAATCTGTAAATGTTCCAATGGGACTTGGGTGCAACTGCAGCCCTTATCAGAGAGTTATGAGAGCTGTATTTTTACTTGGAAACATTCATGATATATTACCTTCAAATCCAGTGTAATTTATGCGAGAATGTCTTGATCTCATTTCTTTGATCTGCAAGACATAAACATTTCTACCTACGTGCCTTCGTCCCCCTCCCCTCCATGTGGCGAGCACTGTGATGGCTTTAGGTGTCGGAGTTGTCAAAACTCCCATTTGTAATTCATCACCGCCTCTTTAAACGCGACCTGTAATTTATTACTGGGATGGGTGGGGCTGTAATATTCAGGGAGGGTCACCGCAAAAAGTGACATGTTTTGGAGGAAGAGGAACGTGTTTAGATTTCACAATTTGGTGGGGTCTTGAAAAGGACACTTGTTAACTTTTGGGCATCGCTCGCTCTCTCACTCACTCACTCACTCACTCACTCACTCACTCACTCACTGTTGTGTGAAGCTGAATTGATTGTTTATTTGTTGTTTATCGCCACACTCAGCAATATTTCAGCTATATGACGGCGGTCTGTAAATAATCGAGCCTGGACCAGACTATCCAGTGATTGATATCATGAGCATCAATCCACACAATTGGGATCGATGACATGCTTCAACCAAGTCAGCGAGCCTGACCACTCGATCCCGTTAGTCGCCTCTTACGACAAGCATCCACCTGAAATTGAAAAACTGTTAGCCCCCAACTCACTCACTCACTCAACATTGTCTCTGATTTCAGTTCAGCAAGCTGCTACAGCCCTACACCCAGTACTGTATGGAGCAAAAGGCTTGTGTCGACTACATGAAGGCCAAACACAACGAAAATGACCTCTTTAAAGTTTTTGTCATGGTAGGTGATGATGGTGATGATGATGATAATAATAATAATAATAATAATAGTAACAATAATAATAATAACAATTATAATAATAATGTCTCTCATACACACCTGGAAACAGAAATATCTGTCGGAAAAAGTCTTCATCTCCTTGGCAAGTCTAGAATTCCTGGAGTTGTAAAACCCTGGATTAACGAGGGTGAAGCCAAGTAGCAACACCAGGGCCCATTTGCACAAAGCGATCTTAGCGCCAAGACTGTCGTAAGCCTATGTTAAATTATTGGAGTTACGATCATCTTAGCGCTAAGATCGCTTTGTGCAAGTGGGCCCTGATGAATGATAGCAGGAAAACTGTATTAATGATGTTCAAAATATATTATACAGAAATAACCAAAAGAAATATGAATGATAATGTCAGCTGAGATCAAATAAACTTCAATCCGTCACACTACTCATTTTTTTCATACTCTGAGCTTTCTCTGTACACCAGAACTGACATGTAAATATTTAACAAGCTTCTTGCGTGTATGTTGTAGGAGGGTCAAAAGGGATGGGGAAAAGTATGGCATACCATTTTTTTAAATAAATCCTTTACATTTCCTTTCCATTTCACTAAAATAATAATCAATGCATTAAAGATATTCCTGTGTGTAATCAGCAGAGTTTGTAGGTAATTAAACAAGCGTAATATATTAATCAGGAATGTGGTACCCCATGTGGAGCCTCAGGAATATATGCATGTATGGTGATATATGTCACAACCTATTACACAAGGTTTGATTGATAGGTGCTTCGTGAAATAGCTGCCTCTGTCTGTAAAACCAGGGCTAATGACATCAGTCCTTGCTGCTGATGAATTAACTTGGTTAATCATAGAGGAACATTCAATGTTGTTTTGTTTTTGTTTTATATTTAAATAATAAAAAACTGTTGGTGACATTAAATCATAAAGGCTACTGTCATTAAAGTATGGCATTCTGTTGAGATTTTACTCGTGCTTCATTTAGTGTACGTAATCTCCAAGGAATGATTGTGAAAAAACAATTGCTTTGTTTATTAACAAAATATTAATTGTCATTAAACTTAACCTACTTACTTTTAGTAACTTGTTAAAAAAAAAGAAGCATTTTTAGGATATTCGGTAATCTTGTTAAAATTATCTCTGAGGTTTGAACAAACTTTTACAGAGTTACTTCCCTTTCCAGATTGCTCTCTCTGAAGCATTTCCAAAATTGTTGGTGGAAAAGAAAGAATTTTTTTTTTTAAATTTTTACCTACATTTGCGAAATTGGCAAACTGTGGACAGACATGTTAGTTATTTTCTGTCTGTCTCCCGTGGGAGTACACTGTTGTTATCTGCATACAGTGGGCGGAGGCACAGAAGAAGTGTAACCGGCTGAAGCTGACCGACCTGCTGGTCAAGCCCATGCAGCGGCTGACCAAGTACTCCCTGCTACTCCAGGCCATCCTACGGAAGACCGAGAATGAACGACAGAGGAGGGACCTGCTCGAGATGGTAGGTCTGAATACCGCATTTGTGTATAGTCCATATTCTGGAAGGTCTCCCACGATTCAATTGTTGTCTGAACTCAGGACTTGCTGTCTTACAAAATGGCTACCATTCTGTAGCAGACCTGGTAAGACTTAGCTAGAGGCCTCACAATATGTCGCAACACCAACTGACTCATGTTTTCTATCTATTTATCTATTTATTTTTGATTTTTATTATTTATTTATCATTCTGCTGTGGAGTTAAAACTGCGGCTGTCTTCATGAATCACTGAACATCCAACACTGGATTGTCTGGCCCAGAGGGCGGTCGGGTAGCCTAGTGGTTAAAGCGTTCGCTCGTCACGCCGAAGACCCAGGTTTGATTCCCGACATGGGTACAATCTGTGAAGCCCATTTCTGGTGTCCCCCGCCGTGATATTGCTGGAATATTGCTAAAAGCAGCTTAAAACCATACTCACTCACTCACTCACTCTGGCCAAGATACTGTACAGGCTGTTGTGATTGGGGCTGCAATGAGGCCAATACAAATCATATTTATATTTAAATACGAATATAGGGGAAAGAATACGAATATTACTTCACGAATACAATAACAAGTCAGCAGTTGATGTATTATTTGTTATTTTCAGTGAACAAAACAAAATATATTATTTGACATGGTTTGTTAATCATTAATATATTATACATTTATATACTGCACTTATCCAGGTACTAGTATCTGCTCAAATGCGACAATGACCAGTGACCACAATACTGTCAAATTAAATATCATGAGAGTGTTGTCTTTTGAAGACATCTATGCATATAATATGTTCTTATGGATATTTTTAGGTACAGGGTATGTAAATACACATGATTGCATATTCATAAATATTCGATTCTAGTGGCCACAAATAACAAATTCAATTCATGAATGGATACGGTTCGATTCACAGAATATGCGAGTGAATCGTAACAGCCTTGGTTGTGATATAAATGAAAACTTTAATATGGCATGTATCGAGCCAAAAGGTAGATTGTGGTAAAATTATGAGGAAGACATTAAAGAAATTATGACATCTAGCATGAAGATCCTCATTCTGTTGATGTTTCTGTGGATGAAAGTTGTGAAGCTATTCGTTGATACAATGAGTCTAATGTCTCGCTGTTGTGATTATAGATTGGCAAGGTTGATGAGTTTGTGACCCACGTGAACACAAGTATGAGGGACCAGGTCGACAAGGAGAGAATGGAAGCCATTGTGACCAAGATCGAGCCTTACGATGCAGTGGAAGCTCCTAATGATGAATGTGTGAAGGTGAGCTTCAGTAGGATTTCAGGAGCAAAACTTTAAAAGGACATCGACATCAGTGGATTAAAAAATGCCTTGGATTTCCCAGTCTTGTTTATTTTCATGGTTTTTTAGTATACGTTTCACCCAAGGACATTTTCAAAACTGGAAGAAAGCCAGCATGTGCTTTTTTCAGTAAAAAATATCAAAATTAATCTTTGAAAGCATCTATTTTGTCTGATATGTTTATTCCAATAAAGCTTGTTTTTGCTGAATGAAGGCACACATTATGTGATGGTGCATATTTAAGTCTTTGAAAGGCATTTAGAAGTGATACACATAAGGAAGAGAATTTATAGATGTCAACGTCTTTATTATGAGGAATACAACGTTTCGGAGTATATTCTTACTCCTTCATCAGGTGAAATAGTTTTAGTTTAAGGTGTAAGTATATACTCCGAAACGTTGTGTTCCTCATAATAAAGAAGTTGACATCTTTTCCTTATTGTACATATTTGTTCTAACAAAGGTTTAACAATATGTTATATTTGGGATAACACTTTCTCAGTAAAATACAGATTCTAGTACTTATCTGGGTTGAGTCCCATCCGGGATTCGAACCCACACTGCCAGAGTGAGGCACCTAGTCACCAGCACACAAATTCTGCGATCTAACCCACTCAGCCACCGAGGCTTCAACAAAAAGTCTGATAACTGGTTGTCTAGATCACGTACTTTGTGTACCCCTCGGACAAGTGTAAATTGGCACGGATCCCAAGGGTTGTTACCAGGAAGGCCTGAGTTCGATTCCCCACATGGGTGCAATGTGTGGAGCCGAGTTTGGTTGTCCTCGAACATGATGTTGCTGAAATAAGACAGAAAAGCAGCATGAAACCCTACTCACTCACTAATCATAACAGGCGGTCGGGTAGCCTTGTGGTTAGATTAAGCCTTCGCTCATCATGCTGAAGACCCGGGTTCGATTGCCGACATGGGTACAATGTGTGAAGCTCATTTCCGGTGTGCCCCGCCGAGATATTGCTGGAATATTGCTAAAAGCGGCATAAAACCATACTCGCTCACTCACTCACTAATTATAACCAGTTGGTTGACCTGATAAGATGTAAAAATTTGAAATGTATGTTTCAGTTGGTTCAGAGCTACAACTCCAACTTCGACCTCCGATCTCCGATGCCAGGCTTCAGTTCGTGTCACAGTCGGGCGCTGCTGATGCACTCCGCCCTGAAGATGAAGGAGGCCCAAGCCAGGGTCAGTACACATGCACTCAGCATGTATTTCTATAATATTACTATCTTTACATACCCATAGTACCGCCTCCAGGGTCTAAAGGTGGAGCGTCCGACCAGAAAGTGAAAGGTCTTGGCTTCAATCCCCGGCTGTGTCATACCAAAACATAAAAAAAGATGGTACTTATTGTTACCCTGCCTAATTTTTCCAGTAATAGAAAAAAACAATAAAGAAAAGGTCTGATAGAAAATTTGCTTTTTTTTAAATGTATATATATTTTTTAAATTTTAAATTTCATTTAGGAACTTTTTATGTAAAGTAAATGACTATAAATAAGAAATTCTTCTTTTTTTTCCTCCATCTTGGCATACTGATCAAGAATATCTATAAAATAAAATAATACTTTTTCCAGCTTAGTGTCTGCCATCATTTTGATTAGATGGATTTTGGACCCGTGAAGATCCAGGTTACAATATGTTTTCAACAACCCATGCTTGTCGTAAGAGGCCACTAACAGGATCAGGTGGTCAGTCTTGCTGACTTGGTGGATGCATGTCATCGTATCGGATGCTCATGATGTCAAGCACTGGATTTTCTGGTCCATTATTTACAGACCGCCGTCGTATAGCTGGAATATTACTGAATGCAGCATTAAACAAACAAACAAACAAACAAACAAGGTGGGTTTAATAAACATGACTTGTGTCCCTCAGATGGATGTGGACTGTTTCCTGTTCACCGACCTGCTGTTAGTCTGTAAGGCGAACAAACGCATGGACAAATTCAAGATCACCAAACCGCCCATGAGACTGGATCGCATCATTGTACAGGATCTCAAGGACAAAGGTCAGATAACGGAGAACACTATCAGGATAAACACACTGTTTTACATTTACATCTAACATCTGGGTTAGAATAGGTCTTCAGCAACTCATGCTTGCCGTAAAAGGCGACTATATCATGTGGTCAGGCTCGCTGACTTGGTTGATGCATGTCATCATCTCCCAATTGCGTAGATCGATGCTCATGATGTCAGTCACTGGATTGACAGACCAAATAAAACATGGTTCAAATATTGAATTTTTATAAGTAACAGGTTTCAAACTCTGTAAATTTAGAGGGTTCAAATCTTTAAGTTTTGAAAGTAACAGGTTACAATCTCTGAATTGAAACCTGTAAATTCAAGACAGGCTTTCAACCTGTAAATTTAGAGGGTTCAGATCTTTAAGTTTTGAAAGTTACAGGTTACTATCTCTGAATTGAAACCTGTAAATTCAAGACAGGCTTTCAACCTGTAAATTTGAACATGGTGGTTTATTTCAAAATAGGGGCGGTCGGGTAGCCTAGTGGTTAAAGCGTTCACTCGTCACGCCGAAGACCTGGGTTGGATTCCCGACATGGGTACAATGTGTGAAGCCCATTTCTGGTGTGCCCTGCCGTGATATTGCTGGAATATTGCTAAAAGCGGCGTAAAACCATACTCACTCACTCACTCAATTATTTCAAATTAAGGGAACAATAATGATTTCAGTCATTCCCCAAGCATTTTGATCATATTTCATATCCTTGTGTCTTCACACAAAAAAATTAAAAAGGAAGAAACTGATTATTGTTTAGTTTGCTGAAAATATGAAAATACACATGAAATCTTTCGATGTACTTTATGAAAGAGGAAATCAGTCCTTTACATTACTTGAACTGTCATTGTTATTGTTACAGGGAGTTTCCTGCTCATCTACCTGAACGAGTACCACACCCCCATCTCGGCCTTCACCTTCCATGGAGATCAGACAGGGGTCAAGGTCTGGTTGGACCATATAAAACGAGCTCAGGTGAGTGCAGACAAAATACCCCATGGTGATCCTGGGCGAGGCCAAAAAGATATGAATGAGGTGGCCGGATGAGTTGGTTGACGGGGTGTCAGTGCTCGAGGAGTGGGGAAGTTGAACAAGTTATTAGGGCTGGGACAGGTACCTCGGGTATTTGGGTCGGGTGGGTCAAGAGTAGGACCGGGTACCCACAGGACTACCCCGGACCCGTGGTTAGTCACATGATACTAGGTCTGCGATTTCACAACAAGGTGAATACAATACGTATCACGAATATAGGGTATTGAATATTCACAACAAGTCAGCAGTTGATGTATTATTTATGATATTCAGTGAAAAATACAGTGATCACTTGCTACAACACTACCTTTGGGGTCCAAATAATTGATGAACGTTACGGACAATCAGTCGTTTTACTGGGCTTGAGTTGTAGATGACCTACAGGGCAGACTACTGCATGGTATATATTCCATTTTCCATATCTTGCTTTTATAAAGAACAGACAACTTCAAGTAAAAAACACTCTTTTAAATATTTTTTTTGTAAATATTCAATTCTAGTGACCACGAATAACAAATTCAGTTCATGAAGGGATACGGTACGATTCACTGGATTTGCAAGTGAATCGTAAGTTGCGCATGTTTGCATTTTTTTCTGACTATGCACACTTTGTTACTGACTTTGATGCATGTAAGACGTAACTGATGTATTTTCTAGGAAACATATTCCGAAACTCTGATGAAGGATCAGCAGAAGGCCCAATCCAAGGTCAGCCAGGTCAAAGAGGAGGTCATTTACACGCCTCTCAGCCCCCTCCCAAAACCTGACCTCATCTCAATGGAGCGCAGTGGGAGTATAGAGTCTGCCGAGGGCAACTTTGTCCCCAATCTCACCACACAAAACTATGCATCACCATCATCGCCAAAGAAGCCCAATGGTATCGCAGCACATCTGAGCTTACAGGATGTCGGGAGAACAGGATCAATGGGTACGCTCGTTAACCACACTAGTCCAAAGTCAAGCGAGTTAGCCACATCCTCCTCCTCCCCCGACTCGTCGCCAGTCACAAAGAAGAAACACAGACCGGTGTCGACTTGTCTCTCCGTGCCTAACATCATGGATGGGCGCCAAGACCTGCAGATTTCTCCCTCACTTAACTCAGTCTCTCGGGACGATTCAAATATTGACGATCTTAAGGAAGAAGACAGCAAAGAGAAACGGAACCCTCGAAGGGTTTCGAGGAACGAAAAACGTTACTACACTGTAGATTCTGTACAGGAACTTCAGAAGAACAAAGATCGGGATAATAGTATACATAAAAGACTTTCCTGGAACTTAGGGTCAAAAGAACTAGGGTGTAAAGACTTGCGTCTGGAGGAGCGGAATCTACAGGACCCGCTCCACGCGTCAGATTCTCTGAGGAGTATTCCAAGCTCTAGTGGTTTTAGTTCGTCAGGGTCGTTACATTTGAACCCAGAGAGTGAGATCAGTGAGGAAACGTATATTCATACGAGTGACCATGATGTGTCGATGTTGAGTATAGAGCGGGATGACATGCCTGCAGAACTTACGCCCGAGACCAAAAATTTCAAGTCCAAGTCAACATCAGACATCATGGCGTTAATGCAGGATCTGAAGACGAGTGACCAGGAAGGCGGGATTACATCCGTGGAACTACCCATGGTGGACAGCAACAAGAAGAAGCTGTCACACGCGCAGATACTCAGGATGAAGAAAATGCACCTACTTCTTAACTCCAACGTTGAGGCATCGTAAGTGTTACCATATCTTAACTCCAGTGTAGAGGCATCGAAAGTGTATTCATATCTTAACTCCAATGTCTGAGGCATCGTCAGTATAATCATAACTTTAACAACAGTGTTGAGGCATCGTAAGTGTAATCATATCTTAACTCCAATGAAGAGGCATCGTAAGTGTAATCATATCTTAACTCCAACGTTGAGGTATCGTCAGTATAATCATATCTTAACTCCAACGTTGAGGCATCGTAAGTGTAATCATATCTTAACTCCAACGTTGAGGCATCGTAAGCATAATCATATCTTAACTCCAATGAAGAGGCATCGTAAGTGTAATCATATCTTAACTCCAATGTAGAGGCATCATTAGACCATTCATGTTTTTAAATCAAGCGCTTCAGTCACAATCATATTCCTTTTACCATTACATGATCAGACTCTTATTGTGATGACTGTTTGTTTCAGGGAGGTATAGCAGTCGGAGTGAGACGTTGTACATAGACGTATACATAGCCAGAAACATTGTACATATGTACATATCTCCTGTACACAGAACTAGACAAAGTGCTCAGTGTATAACAAGGTAGCGTGTCATCCATGGGACATGGTTATACAAGAAAGTGATACAATATAGGGTCAAGGACACAGCAGTGGTACACCAGGTGGTACAATCAGTGGTACAAACAGCTGCCAAATACTGCACACCACCAGTATTAGTAGTAATGAAATGATACTGGAAAACACCAGTATTATAGCAATACACTTCTCCACTTTGGTGAAGTCTCATGCTGTATTAATAATCCCGAATTTCTGGAAATATTTCTTAAAAACCAGGAACGCTGGAATGAATTCTGGATTAGACTGATCAAAGCTAGAGTGATTACTGGTTTGAACCGGTATTAGCTGGAATCAATACTGGATTGTACCTGTACTAGCTAGAATGAATACTAGATTGTACTGGCAATGGCAGGAATGTTGTGATTAGCTTTACTTGGGAATATGATCTCAAGACATCTTCACCATTACCAAGATGTTGACAGAGGGGCTTTGGACAGAGACCTCTGGAGAACAAACTGTGTTACCCAAGGCAAAAACTGTGAAACCTGTCAGACTGGAATCCCTGTTTCCAGGACGATTCTGTAAGAAAAATCTACATACACAGGACATTACTCTGTCAGAAAGAAATTTTAATCCGGAAATGTGTTTTCGGGACAAGTTTTCATCGGGAACATCATCATCCAGATCAACAGGTGCTCTGTCCTGGGTGACCATGGCGCTCAGCTGGAACTGTTTGAACACGCAGTGCAAGGTGGATGCTCAGCAACTGTGAGCTGGCGGGGATTGTTGAATGAAGTGCATTGACAGAACAAGAGATTGGTTTTGTTCGGTGCCATGATTGCCTGGAGGGAAGATATTGTGTGGATAGTGTTAGCTAGCCCTACTGAAGGAAGGTGCCATGATTGCTCTCAAAATGTTACCTGGAATGACTGGACAAGTTGCAGAGGAGCAAGATGAAAATTGTTTCAATAAGCGCCTGATTAAGTGATGACTGGTTGTCCTATGCAATAGACGACAGTGGTACTTTATTGGGATTCAAAGTCACAGCTGACAGAACAAATACAACTAATAATGTCAACACTAGAGAATAACCAGATTCAATGATCTACCAGAAAAGATTTCATTGGGCGTGAAAGGCAAAATGGTGTGAAAATTATATGAATGTATCACTTAAAATCAGTGATGACACCAGGTGTTTGCGAAAAGGTAAGCATGTCCTGCTCCACCTGTAGCAACTGCCACTCACATCATTTGCAGATAAAAGGCAGCGTTTGTTGCCTGGGGCTGCCGAGCAGGGCTCCTGCCATGGGACAGTGGCCTGAAGATGAAGCTGATACTGATTGTTCTCGCATATCCCTGTAAAGTACTGTCAGGAGTCCTCTATCTGTCTGAGAGCACAGCCAAATACCTCCACAAGAAGCACAGTGTATATGGTGAACAGATCGTGCAAACCACACTATTCACTTGCCTTGTCCCAGGCATCTGTTGTCGAACTCAAGACACATGCAGCTGCACCTTTGTTTATTTGATGGGGATATATTTGTACTACACGTGGCCCAAATAACAAATGCCCTTGGATCAGAGCCACTAGATGTACTCAGATGTAGGATGTTTCCACCATTGCCCTTCCAATGTTGCCTCTTCACAATAAAGGTGTTGCAAGCACCCTAGTCCACGAGATCAGAGCAATTTATTTCACCAGAGGTCCATTTAAGTTTGTTTTGGGGCGGTGGGGTAGCCTAGTGGTTAAAGTGTTCGCTTGTCACACCAAAGACCTGGGTTCAATTCCCAACATGGGTACAATGTGTAAAGCCTATTTCTGGTCTCCCCTGTCGTGATATTGCTGGACTATATATAAAAGAGGTATAAAACCATACTCACTAATGTTTGTTTCTAAGACCAAAAAGGCTGAATTTTTTTTGGGGGGGGGGCAGGGTAGCCTATTGGTTAAAGTGTTCTCTCGTAATGCCAAAGACCCAGGTTCGATTCCCCAACATGGGTACAATGTCTGAAGCCCATTTCTGGTGTCCCCCACCCCTTGATATTCCTGGAATATTGCTAAAAGCGTCTTAAACCATACTCACTTTGTCAAAAATGTATGGACCTCTATATGAAATAAATGGCTCCCATCTCTAGGACTACTTGGTTACACAGCCTCAACAATGCAACGAAGCCCTGATCAAAACAACGACACGAGGATTACGTAGACTCCATGTTGTATCAGCGTGTGTTCGTGGAACATGACATCTTCGTTGTAACATTAGGACCACACTACACAGAAGCAGGACTGTAGGGAGGAATCCTTAGACCAGCCGATACGTTTTTGAAGTAATGGTCAGTTCGTATTTAAAAATTTGCTTTTTAAGGTTCTAGAATGCTTGTATCATTTTTGAGAGGACGTCAAACCGGGATAAAACTACCAAATTTGGAACTACATTTTATACAGTTGGAGACCATGCTATTCCGTGGGGTTTATTATCTGCTCCACTTCTGATAGGGATATTTAATCTTTTCATAATACATAAGACCGGTTTTCATAATATGTCAAGTGTACATTTAAAAAGAATGACATATCTGATTATCCTTATCAAAAGCTGATCAGTTTATTTGGTTTTAATCGTTTTAGATATGATAATATTGATATTATCTGAAACTTCAGTTCGTAAAACCAAGATTATCTGTAAATGAGAGAATAAGTAACACCAACCAAGGAATATATGAGCACTTCTAGAGCACAAGAAGGTTGGCATTTTTAAGCCCGGACTGGCTTTTCTGTAGGAGAATCATGCTGGTGTTTTAAGAGCTGTTGAAAGATACGTATAATCTCACTGACCGAGAAAAGGATACTGACTTCTCCACTTCTACGATGTAGGTCAATGTGTAGAATCTGATGTGCTCGTACTACAAATATCATCCGAATACTGCTGAAACATGTTTGATAAGAATTTAGTTTTACTTTCGATACTGTATTGTTGTGAACAAGTCCATGACATCTGACTGGTTGTTTATTATAGGGGAGGGGGTGTGGTGGGGGAATGTTTTGGGGGTCAGCAAGATATTTTTATTCCCATCACAGTTTCACCTGTATGTGGTGGGGTATTCTAGTGGTTAAAGTGGTCGCTCGTCATGCCGTAGCTCCGGGTTTGATTCCCCACATGGGTACAATGTGTCAAGCCCATTTCTGGTGTCTCCCGTCGTGATATTGCTGGAATATTGCTAAAAGCTGTGTTAAACCATACTCATTCCAATTCTTAGACATTTTGTAATTCCAACAGATGGACACAAACACCTGTTTCTCATGACTTTGTTGGGGGTGGGGTGGGGTGGGGTGGGGCACGGGTAGCCCAGTCGTCTTAGGCGCCGCGATTCGCTCTGCAGAGTTGCGTCCCTTGGGCACGCCAGAAACCTATGATTGTGGGTTCGAATCCCGGTTTGACCCAATTATGTTTCTTGGTTTGTCAGCACCCGACCCATGCTAGTGGGTTTCACCGAAGTGGTAAATGTCTGAGACCTACATCACTTCGGGCTTTCCTCCCACATTAAGCTGACACACCGTGATATAACTGGAATAATGTTAAAAGCAGCGTTAAACCCAACTCACTCACTTTTTTTTAAAATGTGCAAAGAGGGACTTTTTCTGTTGTTTTAAAAAAAATAGAAATACTAGCTAATGTCTGCTACTATAGTTAATATGAAAGAATCAGGTGTTCTCCATGAGTACATGGTGGGCTTGTTTTTTTACCTTGGTGCTCTTTTGTATGGAACTCATGCTGGTTTCCTTTAACAAAACACGATTGAAATAAATATTTGAACCTTAACATCAACAGTCATGAGAATCAAGACATTTTACTTGGAAATTTATCTCAAGAACTGACATTTATATGATATACCCTGTAAATTTCCCAATATTAACACAAGTCTTGCCAACACAACATCCAGTGAATTTGTATATCAAAATCCCAACTGAGAAACTTCCAAGTCTTCGAGCAGCACAAGGCAATATTCGCTGCAAATCCTAGTTTCGAGTGTATGTTCATTATTTTCAATATCATTACACCAAAAAGCATTTTTAGAATTATACAAGATGAAAGCAATATTTTTTATATTTCTCATGAGTCAGCAACATGTACAGTATGCATGTAGGAATGTTTTATTATATATTTATTATTAATGGTTAATATCGGTTACTATGAAAGTGAGTACCTATGGCCTGTTTCACAATGACTGTAGTGCTATGAACTCGAACACTTTACCATTGATTATAACAGTCATAGCTGTGAGATTTCTTGAAACAGTGCCTGCAAGTCCTTGATGTGCCCAGCAACACATAACTAAAAGTTAAGTTGTATTTTGTACCCAAGATTATATGTCGTAATACAAATAGTATGTACCTTTTTTAACTGCCAACTAATAACAATAGTAATTTCCATTTTAACCTAACGGTTTTAGAAAACTAAAAGATATTGCCGGCCTATTGATGCCATTTTTTATATCTGTACTTGCAGTATTTGGATAGGCTTATAAGAAAATGAGTTCAAAAATACAAGTGGTATCCATAGACTCACCCCAGAGTTTGAAACCAGAAAATGTTTGATGTTTAGTGAAACATTGTCGGGGGTTATTTGTGGCTCAGTGTTGTAAGATCTGGTGTTAGGAGTAACTCGTCAGTCTGGTATTGTGTGGTACGAGATGTGTTAGATGGTGTTCATTGTGTGGGGGGTGTTGCAGATTGTCGGCGTGTTGAGAGTGAAGCATTACTACGTTGTCCTCTGTCCCTACTATGAACCATGTGATATTCAAACCTCTGTATTTATATATAAATATATATACATATACTAGTATCCCAAGAAAAATGTTAGTAAATAAAATGTGAAATCTCAGAATTCTTGTGTTGTATATCACTACAAATCTTCCCAGGCAAGGGAGATAACTGCATGGTGCTTGGTATTAAGGACTGGTATATCAGTAGGCAATATTCAGCACAGACACACACACACACACAAATACACACACATCACTATATATTAGGGCTGGACAGGAAACTTGGGTACTCAGGTCAGATGGGTACTGAGTAGGACCCAGGTACCCACAGGACTAACGGGACCCATGGTAAGTCAGGTGATATATTGTTTACTGACAAAAATTATCTGAAACACCGGGACCGCCTCCGTGGTCTAATGGTAGAGCGTCCGGAGAGCGGAAGGTCCAGGGTTCGATCCCCGACCGCGTCATACCAAAAGACGTTAAAAGATGGTACTTGTTGTTACCCTGTCTGACGCTCGGCATTAAGGGACCAAAACAAGGACTGGTCTGCTCGGAGTCAGTATACTGTGTGTGAGTGGGGTATTCATGGTAAACTGCGGCATGGTATCTCAGTGAGCTAGCACTATAAATCGGCATCAGTAGGACTAGTACAAGCAGCCACACAAACACACATGCACGTGCATGCACACGTCGCTATATAAGTGCAATAATCTTGGACGCGACGTTTAACCCTATTTCACCTCACCTATCTGAAACTCTGTGGTTAAACTACAAGTCACTGATGTTCACATTTCTTTCTGACTATTCGTTCTGACTTTCATATGTTTTAACAAAAGATAAAACTTCAGATCATTTTATACGTGTATCTGAATACATCTTGCCAGGGCTACAGTCCCGAGTTTCAGAAGTTGCCTTTGAGGTTGGTTGATTGGTTGTTTTACCCCGCATTCGGCAATATTCCAGCTTTATGACAGCGGTCTGGAAATAATCGAGTCTGGACCAGACAATACAGTGATTGACATCATGAACATCAATCGCAATGCATCAACCAAGTCAGCGAGCCTGACCACCCGATCCCGGTCGCCTTTTACGACAAGCATGGTCGCTCCTTTGAGTTGTGGTGATTTGGGGTTTCATTCAAGATACTACATTCTGTCTTCAAGGGCAACTGCAAAAACTCGACATGCATGTGTTTGTGCATATCTGGTGTTAGAATGTGTGTTTGAAGTGTCTATTAAACACTGTTTAATACATACATATTGTCATCAAACGAATGACCTCACGGATGAGTAATAAAATTTGATTATGGCCTAAAGCAACAAATAAAACAAACACAAAACTGCAATGAAACACAAAGAGATGTGTCAATATAGAAGTTATTTATATTATGCCAAATCTCAAGAAAGTGGTGTAGACGAACTACTGATAATGTAGTCTGTGGCCGTGACCTGTGCAAGAAGAAAGTCTTGACACACAATCATCTTAGCCACCAGCATTGAGACACACCAGCAAATGAGTTCAACGCCATACTCAGCATTCCAGCAAATAAATATTCCAGCCTGTAAATAATCAAGTTTTGTTAATGACCTTAAATGTTTCAATGGCACCGACAGTAAATTCTTCTTGAATTTAGATGGACTGTTCTTCAAGCTATGACCTTGAAGGAGACCTTGACCTTTGATATGGCAGGTCAATGTGTAAAAAACAAAACAAGTCTTAGATGTCCAAGCACAGGTGTCGTGGCAGTGATGGCAATATGGCCACAAAACCTAAAAGCATCCTATTTTCCTGGGGTTGCTCAATAAAATACACCCAACCCCTGTGATTTTCAATGTTCATTTTATTTTAGTATTTAATAAAAGAAATGAGATAATAATGAGAAATACCTATCATAGAAAAAGTTAAATATTCTAAATACAGACCAGAGAACATCCTTGCCTGCTTTCTTAGTGGCTTATGTCGACTATATGTTTGTCATTTCATTGGTCGGTCAAAGTTTGTGAAAGGTCGTTCTGACGTGACCTGTAATGGGATGTCCTCTGATTTAAAGCATTTATTGCTTGTTAAGCATGTTTATCTCTGCAGCCGTTGTAATATGCAGCTACCAGCCGTCTAGTCTTGCATCAAAACCTGGGCTGTTTACTCGCAGGCAGATGACCACGGATAACGCTGATCATCATGTCGGATTAACGAGACTGATTAATGAGTGATTTAAGTAATTTGTTGCAAATTAGGTGTGTCGGATTTACGGGTCTAAAGAGCACCGATTTAATCAGTTCCCATCATTAGTTTTGGATAAAGCCGATTGTCGGATTAACAAGTGTCGGATTAACAAGACTTGACTGTACATATGAAATCATTCCTAACACACAATGATACACAATCATAATGCTATGACATCACAATCACATTATCAGACAATGGAAACGAACATTAAGAATCACTTTGTGATCACATTACATCTTTCCTATCACATAAATATCTGTCACCAGGAATCCATGATGGCACTTTGATGTAGGAGTGAACAAAGATAGCACTTTAATCCTTCATAAACATAGCCACATTCTTAACATGACACAAAACAAATGTGAAACTCATAAACAGTTGATGCATATATGTACACACCCTCCTATTATAAAACAATTAATAAAATACAAACAATGGGGTATATACACACTGTATACATCATAATAAGCAAAGTCTGTAATGTACACAAGAAACTTGGGACTGATACGTAAGTATTTAAGCTTAGTACAGTTGGTTAGTGGGTGTTTATTGGAGCGCTTAATATGCCGTATACAGTATTATAATGAACCTTCCATACTGAAACTTTTTACAAAAAAGCTGTTATTTTCAGCCCTTTCATCCATAAGAAATGGTGAATAATATGTGTAAAATCTTTATAACAAAACCGCATCATTTACCTATCAGTATCGGTTCACAATTGTCCTTCCGTAAAGCTGTGACCTACAAGTTTGTTTTTAATTTATATCAAGCAGTACTTATCTGGATGTGGAATTTAAAAGAATTTTGGTCCAACTACTCCGAATCAATGGCCCATTTCTTTTAGGTAAATCAACTAATACATGATAGAAGGCCTAATGTCAGATAGATGAGGAGCAGGTCATAGACACTTTATGCAGTTCATCGCAGACCAGTGATAATCTGGGATTCGAACACAAGACAAGTGTAAGGGCTCCAACTTTGCAATGGATATTGCAACACCTTAGGCCACTAGGTACCCCACAAGCCACAAATGACTCGCACAAAATCACAAAACTCTCAATCTTATACAAAATCTTTTTCTCACCAATCATTCTAAAACCTAACCACAAAACAAGTGTTGCAAGGTGATATGTACATAGGTTTGGGGGCCAAAAAACATCACACAAAAAAGGCAAATTCATAAAAAGGGATTTTTAAATTATAACCCAAGATGACCTCTAAAGTTGGTATTCAGGCATCGTCAGACAAACAGAACACACCAACATTTCAAACTCCTGGCCTCAATTTATGAAATGTATCCTTCCTCCTGTGATAGTTGTCATAAATAAATCACCTAAAATTCAATAAAAAGAAAGGCAGAGGTCTTGATACGTCATGTATTTGCGTAAAATATGCACAATGATTAACCATAACTCAATAAACTTTGTACTGCTTGCATACAAATATGCATTAAAATATTTTAGATTTTCATCCCATTTCACAACCACATGCTCTGCATCGTCACCCAATAAAAATGCCAAATAAAAACTCAACAACTTTGTCTTTAAAAAATTGGTTCTCCGGCACCACCTGTATCATCATACAGTTCGCTGCATGTTTTGTTTTATTTCCATTTTTTTTTTAAATTAAAAAATCCATAAATATTCCATGCTCAATAGTTGTCAAATACTCTATTCCAGTATTATACTCATCAAGGTTAACATTTATGTAGGGAGGCCCTTTCCCAGGTTGATTGTACACAACTGTTTATTTGGTCACATACTACGTTTGAATGACAACAAAAAAACACACCCAAAAAAGCACACACACCCAAAAAAAAAAAAACAGTCGCCCGTACACACTTACTTTTTTAAAAGCCATTGCCTGAGAACCAATTCTTTTTTTTTAAAGCCTTAACTATGCAACATAGTTGACTGTAACAAGATTTGGTTCTATGTGTATAATTATTCCAGCATTTATTCATTTAAAGGTGCATATTGTGTATAGGATAAAACACGTCCGAGGGTTGTTATGATATTTAAAACCCGCATCCCGAGGGATTTTCCGAGGGAAAGGGTTTTATATATCATAACAACCCGAGGGGAAGTGTTTTATCTTACTTATAAACCGAAAAAAGGAACTTTAAACAACATTTATCAACATTTTTATGTTTCGAACATACTTTCCATGAACATTAGGAAACAGGCGTAAAATATCTGTTGCTCGCGTACGGATCTTGAAAAGGACATTCTAAAAAGCAGTGCGGCTTATCCACGCCTCTCTCACCTAGTGGTACACTCACTGGGCTACAGGTACGAAGGTTGCGAGTTCGATCCTCAGGAATTTAAAGAAAATATTTGTCATTTGATTTTACATTTCATTACAAGTTACAATCTGAACGGAAGATATATTAATAAAATACCCAGGACATTATATTAAATCCCTGGGATATTATATAGCAAATATGACTTGAATATCCTATAAAATCCCAGGGATGTTACAACGTCCCTGTTTATGAGATTTAACCCGACTGGAGAACAATAGGATGACATCACCGGAGGTTTGTAAGAAGAGGATTGTTTCCTGTGACACTGAAATTTGTTCCAGTCAAACAGGAACCTTCACACACATATGTTCTACCTTATGAAACTGTCAAGTGTCTGAAAGAGAGATTTTTTAATGGGGCTATATTAAAAAATGGGACTTGGTTAGATTTATTGTATTTAATTATTGGGGGTGGAGGTGGGTTGGGGTGGTGGGGTGAAGAGAATTTTAAGCATGGAACAAATACTTGCAATATAAATGCTCTATGTTTGAAAATTCCTATTGACATATCCGTTAACATTTAAAAAACAAAAACAAATTCTTTAAAAAAATAATTTTTTAACATATCTGTTACCATGGTAAAAAAAAACAATTCTCATTTTCTGTTAATTCTTAAAGATACTTCACCCTGACAGCCATAGTGTTCACTGGCAACTACTTTTTTGTTTAATTTACTCGACATAAACACAGTTATTTTATTGAAATCTAAAGCAGCCGTACTTCCGAGTTAGGTTGCGTTTTGGGCTCTGCATTCTATCCATTTCTGTCATAATTACATATTTTCACATTTGCCTTCATCATTAATTAACTATCAGGATTTGTTTCATGGTTTCCTTTTTCGTCATATTCTTTTGTTTTCCTTTTAGATTATGTTTATTTGTATTGTGATTGTATGTCTTCGTTTCCCTGCTTTTCATGTTGCACATCAACAACATACAGGAACATGTGGGGCGGTCGGGTAGCCTAGTGGTTAAAGCGTTGGCTCGTCACGCCGAAGACCCGGGTACAATGTGTGAAGCCCGTTTCTGGTGTCCCCGCCAGGATATTGCTGGAATATTGCTAAAAGCGGCGTAAAACCATACTCACTCACTACAGGAACATTGGTCAGAAACAAACCAAAAAATTGTTCTTGTCAACTTTTCACAACAAGATCGGAACATTTTCACTGCAATTTTATATATTTAATCCTGACATCTTTCCGGGTTAGAACAAGATTTGGGCAAAACAAATCCATGCTTACGAGGGACCAACTATTTGATGTTCTTAGGGGAAGCCTGGGAAATTTGTTATAGATAGAACAATTTTTTGGTCAAAACATAATATTTTTATCTGCAGTTCAAAAAAGAGCCAAATGATTTCATCCTTCTTCTTCATCCTTCTTGACTTCCAGCAATTCTAAGAGACAATTTAGTTTTGACAAAGTTGACACAACAAAACAATGGCATCAGCATCTGTACTGAAATATCACTATAAGGCTAAAAAAAATAATAGTCTTGGTTCTCAGGCACCAACCGCATCATCATCAAGTCTGAGCAAGTTTTGTTTTTATTTCCATTTTCAAAAATATACTTAAACACAATGCACAAAAAAAAATGAAAATGGAAACAGAAACAAAATGTGTAATGAACTTTATGATGATGTGGACAGTGCCTGAGAACCAAGACTAGAATTTATTTAGCCTAATAGTGCAAAAAAGAGGTGGTATTCATAAATTGCGTCTACCTAGTTATCCATCATCTTCTAAGAAATGCCTATCAACCAAATTTAGTTTTTTGTAAAAGCTGAGGAAAGATTATTTTACAGTATTTTCTGAAACATATTTTTTTCAAAATTTACCCAGCCACTTCCCCGATCCCTTTACAGGGTACATGGATCTACAGGGCATAGATGTCAACAATTCCCCCCCAACAGACACACACGTTTATCAGTCCGGTAGGTCAGTCTTCAGATACTGGGCAAGATGGTACATGTCTGATCGCTGTACATGATACAACATCTCAGCTACAGTGGGGTTGGTCACCTCGCTCCGCCAGCGCCGGAGGAGCTGGTATATAACTTCCTCCAACCCCCGAGAGCTGTGTTCTTCGTACACTTCGTCCACATCATAGTCCTGTAAGCCGATGAAGCGAACTGGAACATAAAAACAGGGCTATACGGCTGCTGAGACTGTTGGTTACGATCAAAAAGTGTGTTTCAAAACCCAACAACAAAGGCAGGTAACCAATAAATGTTACCGGTACCTGCCCATTTTCAAAGCTACCTGCCCCTATTCAGACAATATAAACATTGAAAAATCACGAAAAAAAATGAGAAAAATTGTGTCTTGATCTTTGAACTAACACAACAATTACTTGAGAATCTATGAGCAGTTCAGGATAAAACTGAACAAGCATGAAATACTCACATCCCCCGCCAATATGACATGTCGGGTGTGTGCAATGCATTAGCTCCTGTGAACTATGTTCACTGGGCCTTTTTGTAAAGAAATATACTACGTTTTTCAAGATCTGCTCCGGAAACGAGGACTACCGCCATTTTCAGTCTAAATCAAAGTCGTTGCCATGGAAACTCGAAAAATAACTTTTAAAAAAAATCCCAAACTATCCAAAGGCACCAGTTCACCACTAGACCTATCAATGTGCAAAATATGGTGAAGAAAATTGGTACGGTTTTCAAGATCTGCTCCGGAAACGAGGACTACCACCATTTTCAGTCTAAATCAAAGTCGTTGCCATGGAAACTCAAAAATAATTTTTTTTTAAATCCCAAACTATCAAAAAGCACCAGTTCACCACTAGATCTATCTATGTGCCAAGTTTGGTGAAGAAATATGGTATGTTTTTCAAGATCTGCTCCGGAAACGAGGACTACCACCATTTTCAGTCTAAATCAAAGTTGTTGCCATGGAAACTCGAAAAATAATTTTTTTTTAAATCCCAAACTATCAAAAGGCACCAGTTCACCACTAGACCTATCTATGTGCCAAGTATGACGAAGAAATATGGTACGGTTTTACACGATCTGCTCCGGAAAAAAGGACTACCGCCATTTTCAGTCTAAATCAAAGTTGTTGCCATGGAAACTCGAAAAATAACTTTTTAAAAAATCCAAAACTATCAAAAGGCACCAGTTCACCACTAGATCTATCATTGTGCCAAGTTTGGTGAAGAAATATGGTACGGTTTTCAAGATCTGCTCCGGAAACGAAATGTGACGGACGGCAGGACGGATGGAAGGACGGCCGGACGGAAGGACGGACGGACGGCACCCATTCCTATATCCCCCTTCCACTTCATGTCGGGGGATAATAAGTGGTCTTAAAATCATCTGCCAGACAGTCGGGCAGGTGGAAAATCTCATTCAGCCCGACAGAAAAGTTACTAGCCACGAGCTGGTGGGCAGGCAGTTATTTTGGACACTGTTTATGATAGCCTATTGTTATTACCGTATTCGACATAATAAGCGCCCCGCTCTAATAAGCGCCCACAGCGAAATTTGTTGATATATTGGCTAGTGAACAATCCAAATAAGCACCCCTTCTGATTGATCAATGTACGCAAGACTTATTTATTCGTGTATAATACACACTCATGTGTTATATGCACCCTTAATTATGGGCAATTAAATTCTGGAAAAATATATCTGTCGTACATAAACATTTCAGTTGTCACTATAAACCACGAAATTTATCTTTCAACTCTGTTTTTTTCACCAACATAATATTCAAGTAAGAACCCCCTATTTCTAATTTTGAGAGCGCCCTGGGAGCTTATTACGTCAAATACGGTAAGTATGTTAACTGCAGATGTTTGTGAGGTAAGGTGAGGTGAGGTAAGGTGAGGTAAGGTGAGGTGAGGTGAGGCAAACATCATGAGAGGGATTAAACATCAAGTTCAAGATTACTGCACTTATATAGCGATTTGCATGCATGCATGCCTGTGTATGTGGTTGCTTAAACTAACACAGACAAAAGCCAATTTTATAGTACTTTCCACTGAGATACCATGCCACAGCTTAACTTGAATACCCCACTCAGACACCTAACACCAAGTCTTTGTTTTAGCCCATTTAGGCCGAGTGCCAGGCAAGGTAAAAAGGACCTATGGTGATAACAATTCCCTCATCATGCCGACCTGTGAAGATGCGGGGTAGAATAGGCCTTCAGCAACCCATGCTTGCTCTCCAGCTTTCAGCCGTACAACACATAGTTATATTATAAGGGTAACGCTATTTTTCAGGGCATTATCATTTGTAGAAGCCTGAGGTTTTCCATTAACTGCCCGACGAAGGAGGGCAGTTGAAAAGACTGAGGGATTCTGCAAATGATAATGCCCTGAAAAAGAGCGTTACCGTTATTATAGCTAAGATGGATGGAATTTGTTATCAAAAGAAAAGAAACAACAACATCGGTTTTGAAACATTTACTGCAATCAACACGACTGTCACTGACCACATTTTATAAATATGGAAACGTCATAGAAGAAACCAGATGACGTCACTATAATACGTGACGTCATTTTCTCTACCCTATGACGTCACATAACAACGGGCTTGATAATGGCCCGTCGTCAAGCAGTATGAGGGCATTATCAAGTTACAGTGGCCCGCTCATTTCTGATAACGTGCGGGCGGTTTAATGATAATTCTATCCATTTTAGCTATAATAGCACATTCATCTATAGTTTGTTGCACCCACCCACCCTGTTATCCTTAATTACAAGTTATTCAAGCTTTGCAGTTGTCAATCTGGTGGAACTCTACTGGAGCATTATGTTTGTATATAATGATGTTGTCATGAATAAAATGTTGCAGATGGGCCGGGGTGCTGGTGGACTGCATTACAAGTTACATTTGGCATCTTGGGATATATCCCAAATTATAAATTATGTAGGATAGGGTTGCCCGCTTTACAGCAGGAACCAATTTATCCATTCTGCTTTACAGCAGATGGCTTAGTGTCCGCTTTACAGCGGATGGTCAGCTTGGCAACAATAGTTGCCCTCGCACAGGGTTTGGCAATGGTACTTGCCTGGCAGCGCTAGCTGCATAGCAACATGGGTTGCTTGGCAACGGTACTTGCAGGGCAGCAGGCGCTGCATTTGTAAGCAACATGGGTTGCTTGGCAACGGTAGTTGCAGGGCAGCGGGCGCTGCATTGGTAAGCAACATGGGTTGCTTGGCAACGGTTGCTGCAGTTAGGGTCGCTTAACAGGGGTTAAGCTCATTGCTGCAGTCCACCAGTACCTCCACATCTGCGACCATTTCATCCAATAGTATCTCTTGTCTTAATTTGAAGTTCCGCTACCATGCATGATAGCGGAGCCTGTCATAATGGAGCCATGTCCTTATATGATAATAAAAATAATAATAATAAGTGTATTTATAATGTGCCAGATTCCATTCACCAAGTGGATGCTCATAGCGCTACACTATCATTACCCCAGTCAATGGATCAGTGACCACTGTGATTTTCATTCTCAGCTCCCTGGGGAGTATACAACCAAAGCTGCCTGTGAGGCGCCAGACATATTTGTCTATCTGCATTAATGTATTTGCATCCGGACAATCTGTGACTTACTGAGGCGTCTCCATCCAAGGCCAACATGGCGGGCAATGTCCAACAGCTCTTCATTACTGATCTCTCTCTCACACCCTGTACAGCAGAACAATATTGGACATTTTACAATAAATTATAGATTTATAATACTTATCCTATCTCACACTGTGCATTTCATCCTTCTAGTCCGATCCTTGTGTGGAAACGACCCTAAAACAAGTTTCCAGCTTCGAAAAACACCTAACCCAAACACATCCCAGCCGTAACCAAGGTTACCAACAATAGCTTATGCAACACATGAGTGCAGCCTGATCAAGTGATGTTCCCAGCTTACTGTGTTTTCTTGAGTATAGTGCGCATCCCCCTCTAGCCGATTCAGTATTTTGGAATTATTTTTTTTAGAATATTGCTGTTGGTTGCTGTTAATAACGGTGAGTTGTGTGATCTTCCGATTGCTTCACACACGATTTCACCGAAATTCATAAAAACAATATTAAAAGGAATTTTGAATAAAATTGATGAAATAAGTTACAAACAGAAGTTCAGATATACAATGAACACTTTTTATAACCAGACACTGTAATTACAAGATTACATCGCGTACTCCAGTACGGATTTGTTGACATGGTATTTCCAGTGTTATGTAATGTCTTTGTGTTGGGGGGAAAAAACATCAAAACTCATTATGATGTGCGGGTCTTCGGCGTGACGAGCAAACTCTTTAACCACAAGGCTCCCCGACCGCCCCCATAGCCCAAGTAACAGCACATGAAGGATTTACATTTAACTCTTCTCTCTCTTCCTGTTCATCACATGGTATCTCACCAACTTTAGGAAGATCAGATATAACCTTATCTTCTGCAATATCATTGCCCATGATAAGTGATATACCTGGCACTGGTAAAGTTGACATGACTCCCACTGTAATAGTGAGTGAGTGAGTGAGTTGGGTTTAACGCCGCTTTTAACAGTATTCCAGTTATATCACGGCGTGTCAGCTTAATGTGGGAGGAAAGCCCGAAGTGATGCAGGTCTCAGATGTTTACCACTTCGGTGAAACCCACGAGCACGGGTATGGTGCTTACAAACCTAGAAACATAATCAGGGCGAACCGGGATTCGAACCCACAACCATAGGTTTCTGGCGTGCCCAGGGGACGCAACTCTGCACAGCGAATCACAGCACCTTAGACGACTGGGCCACCCGTGCCCCCCGATAAGAAAGAGAAGGAGTAAACTGGAGACGTCACATGATCAGGCTGCACACTTGTGTAGCATTAGCTATTGTTGGCGATGGTAACCTTAACCTTGGTTACGGCTGGGTTTTGTTTGGTCAGGTGTTTCTTGAAACTGGAAACTTGTTTCAGGAACGTTTCTACGCAAGGATCAGAGAATAAGAATGAAATGCATAGTATGAGATATAAATTTGAAAACTTGACATTTATACCTGCATCTTAGAACAGGTGTCCCTCTCACTGTATAGAGGACAGTATCACATTCATACCATTGTTATTACAGATCTCCCTCTCACTCTGTAGAGGACAGTATCACATTCATACTATTGTTATTACAGATCTCCCTCTCACTGTGTAGAGGACAGTATCACATTCATACCATTGTTATTACAGATCTCCCTCTCACTGTGTAGAGAACAGTATCACATTCATACCATTGTTATGACAGATCTCCCTCTCACTCTGTAGAGGACAGTATCAGATTTATACCATTGTTATTACAGATCTCCCTCTCACTCTGTAGAGGACAGTATCACATTCATACCATTGTTATTACAGATCTCCCTCTCACTCTGTACAGGACAGTATCACATTCATACCATTGTTATTACAGATCTCCCTCTCACTGTGTAGAGAACAGTATCACATTCATACCATTGTTATTACAGATCTCCCTCTCACTCTGTAGAGGACAGTATCACATTCATACCATTGTTATTACAGATCTCCCTCTCACTCTGTAGAGGACAGTATCACATTCATACCATTGTTATTACAGATCTCCCTCTCACTGTGTAGAGGACAGTATCACATTCATACCATTGTTATTACAGATCTCCCTCTCACTGTGTAGAGGACAGTATCACATTTATACTACCATCTTAGTATTGATCTCTCCATGTATAGAAGGCTAAAAAAAATAATAGTCTTGGTTCTCAGGAACCACCTGCATCATCATAAAGTCTGCTGCACTATTTTCATTTCTATTTTCAAAAAAATATATAAATCCTAATACATAAAACACAATACACAAAATAAATTGAAAATGGAAACAAAAACCAAACGTGCATGGAACATAATGATGTGGGCAGTGCCTGAGAACCAAGATGATTATTGTTTTTAGCCTAAAATCTTCCCAAGGCAAGAGAGTTAACTGATTATTAAAGTCCAGTTTTCACCCTTGCCGAACTAGGTTGGAATTATAGAGTTACATTTTGAATAGACAAATGGAGAACATCGTACTATACGGCGCCCCTGTGTAATAGACCGTCCCTTGTACCAGTGCACATTCGCAATCGGAACCGGAATCAGATATAATTATAAACACGCCTGTGTTTCAACCTGTTCGATACTTGTTTAGTTATTGACATTTCACGCTGATTTTCTCAAGTAAAGTGATCGAACAAATGGAACTCTGTTCTTATTTAACTAATGGGTCCAATCAAAATCGTGCAATGAAATCAAAATCCTGTTCGTAAACTGTGATGCAGATTTTGATCGATTGCAGGATTTGCAAAGCATGTGCACCACCAACTCGTTGTCAACAGATATTTTTCAAATCTCTTCATGTTTTTCATCAAGGTGCTTGTGTGATTTGATGCACTTCATGATGTAACACCCGTTTGATCACAACATAGATAGATCGTCTTAACTGGGTGCCGCCATTTTGTTTGAAGTAAATGCAAGTGATACGAGAGGTGGAATCTGATTGGTCCATAGGAGAAGCATAGAAGCGACATAACTCGTGATAGCCACAGGTGGCGCTACAATCGAGCCCAGGAATTCAAGCCTATTTCGGCAAGGGTGGAAACTGGACATTTAAAGTCAGTTAACTCACTTGCCTCAGGAAGATGGTATAAAAGGGTTCATTGACAATCTAATACAAGATTTATCGTATTCGACGCAATAAGTGCCCTGCTCTAATTAGCGCCCACGGCGATATTTGCTTATATATTGGCTAGTGAACAATCTCATTTATCACCCCTCCCGATTGATCAATGTACGTAAGACTTATTTATTCGCGTATAATATGCACTCATGTGCTTCATGCACCCTTAATTATGGGCAATTACATTCTTGAAAAATATATCTGTCGTATATAAACATTTCAGGCTGTCAGCATAAACCACGAAATTTATCTTTATCTCTGGGTTTTTCTCTCACCCAAATAATATTCTAATGAGAGCCCCCTATTACTAATTTTGAGTGCGCCCTGGGCGCTTATTACGTCGAATACGGTAATTCCTTGAAACAAAACATGGAACACAGGATTAATATTTCAACCATCATACTTCTCAACTCTCTAGTCCGCTCATCTTCGAGAGCGTCCTGGTCGTCTTCATCACTGCTTGAGCTTTCATCATGACGTGACATGTGTGGCATGCCGATGTTCATGACATTGGTGCGACCAATCTGGACATTGTGGCTGTTGGTGATGTTGAAGAAGTTGGCGCTGCCGCCCCGGTGAAAGTACTGCTGTCCATGGTGGGGAACTGCAACATGTCATCAGTTTATTATTTGTTTGTTGTTTAATGCCACACTCAGCGATATCCCAGCTATATGACGGCGGTCTGTAAATAATGGAGTCTGGACCAGACAATTCAGTGATTGACATTATGAGCATCGATCCACGCAATTGGGATGGATGACATGCATCAATCAAGTCATTGAGGCTGACCCCCCGATCCCGTTAGTCGCCTCTTATGACAAGCAAAGTCGCCTTTTACAGCAGAAGACCTATTCTACCCCGGATCTTCACGGGTTCATTAGTTCATTCAGGGTGAAACGATACAGCATGGGCACAATAATGATACGTATCACAATAAATAGATAACGATATGATACATATCGCAATACACATATTTACATCAAATTGCTTGGAAACTTCTTGACTATAAATATTTCAGAGCATGTTCCAAAGGAAAATCTAGCTGAAGGCTCATGTTAGTAGAGAACTTGGAATGCTAATTACAACAAATTTTGCGGTATCTGACTAACAGAATTGCTTAGGGGCATTACATGAGTAGTAAGTGATTGTTTCAGCAAGTGTATCATCTTGTATCGATACAGAAGAAAACGTGAGTGTATCCCATTGTTGCATGAAAACTTACGATGCACCGGTGCACTGTTGTGTCATGTCACCCCTATAGTTACTGTATTTGACGTAATAAGCTCCCAGGGCGCTCTCAAAATTAGAAATAGGGGGCTCTTTTGGGAATATTATTTTGGTGAAAAAAGATAGATAAATTTCGTGGTTTATGCTGACAGCCTGAAGTGTTTATGTACGTCATATATATTTTTCCAGAAGTTAATTGCCCATAATAAAGGGTGCATATAACACAATTAACAGTGCGTATTATAGGCGAATAAATAAGTCTTGTGTACATTGATCAATCGGAAGGGGTGGTAATTGGGATTGTTCACTAGCCAATATATTAGCAATTGATGCCGTGGGCGCTTATTAGAGCCGGGCGCTTATTACGTCGAATATGGTAATGGTCAATGTTTACCCAGAAAATTTATGCTAAAGGGCAGTTTTGAAGCCAAGTGGTAAAGTGTGCGAAGCCCATTTCTGGTGTCCCGAGCGGTGATATTGCTGGAATATTGCTAAAAGCGGCGTAAAACCATACTCAGTCACTCACTCACATGTCATTACCAGCACTTACCCAAGGCACGTAGCCATCTTAATCCTCTGATTGACCAACACAATTTGTAGTTTTTCACCACAGAAAATGTTTAAAAAGGAAAACGAATAGTGGGTGATTTTCCAGGCTCGCTGACTTGGCTGATGCATGTCATTGTATCCTATTAAGAGGATCAATGCTCATAATGTCAATCACTGGATTGTCTGGTCCAGACTCGATTATTTACAGACCGCTGTCACATAGCTGGAATATTGCTGAGTGCGGCATCAAACAAAAAACAAACAAACAGGACATTGACTCACTGTATGGATTGAACTGAGCTGGATGAATTGGTGGCAACCCTTGCTGAACGTTTCTAAACGCCATTCCTCCTTGTGCCTGCAGAGCAGCGGCCCTGGTCATTATAAGGCCATCTGTCTCTGTGTCGTCCGAGGTGGCCGCCTTTAGATCCACGGACTTGTTGGGGTCTGGAGGTTGCTTGGCAGCCATTGTGTATCAGAAAACCTGGAAGTAATAAGATTCAACATAACAGAATAGTAAACTGGATTGACTCTTGAAACAAAAGCTTTTATAAATATACAAGTTTACCTAATGTACAATGGCTTATACCTTGACCGCCTCCGTGGTCTAGTGGTAGAGCATCCTCCCGGAGAGCGGAAGGTCCGGGGTTCGATCCCCGGCCACATCATACCAAAAGACGTTAAAAGATGGTACTTGTTGTTACCCTGTCTGGCCCTCGGCATTGAGGGGCTAAAACAAGGACTAGTCGCCTCGGAGACTGTATACGAAGTTTACCACTTCGGTGAAACCCACGAGGGCGGGTATGGTGCCGACAAACCAAGAAACATAATCGGGGCGAACCGGGGTTCAAACCCACAATCATAGGTTTCTGGCGTGCCCAAGGGACGCAACTCTGCACAACGAATCGCGGTGCCTTAGACAACTGCGCCACCTGTGACATAAAGAAAGGGTGTAGTTTACTGTACTGTAAGATTTGATATTTTACCTTTATAGTTCTTGTCATGAATTGGTACAATGAATACCTAAAGTTCTAGCAGTATCATGAGGTGCACATGTGGTTTTAGTCCTCCGTAAGGTTTTATATGAGCCGGAGGCGAATTTATGCTACGGACATGTTTTAATCTGACATTGTAAAAGAATTAAAACAAATTTAAAATTGATAGAAAACAGCTGTTCGATTGAGTGAGTGAGTTGGGTTTAACGCCGCTTTTAACATTATTCCAGTTATATCACAGCGTGTCAGCTTAATGTGGGAGGAAAGCCCGAAGTGATGCCGGTCTCAGACGTTTACCACTTCGGTGAAACCCACGAGCATGGTATGGTGCTGACAAACCTAGAAACATAATCGGGGCGAACCGGGATTTGAACCCACAATCATAGGTTTCTGGCTTCCCTTGGGATGCAACTCTGCACAGCAAATCGCAGCGCCTTAGACAACTGGGCCACCCGTGCCCCCCTGTTCGATTGAGCTGAGGTTAACTTGTACTATGTCACATGACATTCTTTGACTCGGAAAAAGTGTGCAGCATTTTGCTTCAAAGCTTGGTGTTACCGTCAAAAATAACATCTCTAAAATAATTTCTATTTATTTTTCCAAATTATTAAAGTTTAAAATTTTCTTTTATTTTCATTCCAAATTTAATAGCAGTAAAAAGATAATTATTTTATGTCTGCTTCAGGAATTTAGCCAAGGAAGGTTACTCTGTTTAGGCTGCATGCCATGCATGCTTTTCAGTTCATGCAAGGAGAGAATGAGGATCCATGTGGTCAGAAATAAGAAAAGAAAGAAGTAAAAGTTAGAAAAGAATATGGGTCTACCAAAATGGTATGCTTTCATGCATTTGTATTTCTAATCCATTGTCAATACAATTCTGTAGCAATTTTATTTCCCAAAATGTTGTATTTGTAACTTTTTCTGAAGTAATGATAATGTGTTCAGTTTTCAATCACTAATGTTTACATTCTAGTAAATTTAAAGTTGTATTTTCATCAAGTATTTCCAATTTAAATTACATCATATAACTTAATGTTATACATTCTTTCTGTGCAAATGCTCTTGTAATTATTTTGGTACAATTTAATGTCTTTTGTCAACTTTTGTTGTTTTAGTAATTTTCATACATTATTGTTTTGTTTACATGTTGAACTGCAAACTTGTAATTGTTTATTTTTCCTTTGCAGACAATCTTCCAATTCCAACGCGGATAAGGTTTTGGGTATTTGTTGATAATTGATGATTATGAGATTAGCTGCATGTTATGAACTTTATTTGAAAATAAATACTCAACAACTTTGAGATGAGATGTGTTGTGAACTTTGTTTGAACATTAACTTGTAACAACGTTGAACTGTTTTCTCCATGGGATATGGTGTTTGACATGTGGCACATGAACAATTGAGAATAAGAATGGAGATGGGAATGTGAATGGGACTTTTGATCTTGGATGAATTGAAATTTATTGTGATACCTACACTTTGAAAATGGGATATATTTTCCAATTCAGAAATCAGTATGTAGCTTGTGGTCTATATGGCAGGGTATAAGGGATATATTTTCCCACTCAGAAATCAGTATTTAGCTTGTGGTCTATATGGCAGGATATAAAGGATATATTTTCCAATTCAGAAATCAGTATTTAGCTTGTGGTCTACATGGCGGGGTATAAGGGATATATTTTCCCACTCAGAAATCAGTATGTAGCTTGTGGTCTATATGGCAGGGTATAAGGGATATATTTTCCCACTCAGAAATCAGTATTTAGCTTGTGGTCTATATGGCAGGGTATAAGGGATATATTTTCCCACTCAGAAATCAGTATTTAGCTTGTGGTCTACATGGCAGGATATAAAGGATATATTTTCCAATTCAGAAATCAGTATTTAGCTTGTGGTCTACATGGCGGGGTATAAGGGATATATTTTCCCACTCAGAAATCAGTATGTAGCTTGTGGTCTATATGGCAGGGTATAAGGGATATATTTTCCCACTCAGAAATCAGTATTTAGCTTGTGGTCTATATGGCAGGGTATAAGGGATATATTTTCCCACTCAGAAATCAGTATTTAGCTTGTGGTCTATATGGCAGGGTATAAGGGATATATTTTCCCACTCAGAAATCAGTATCTAGCTTGTGGTCTACATGGCGGGGTATAAGGGATATATTTTCCCGCTCAGAAATCAGTATGTAGCATGTGGTCTATATGGCAGGGTATAAGGGATATATTTTCCCACTCAGAAATCAGTATGTAGCTTGTGGTCTATATGGTGGGGTATAAGGGATATATTTTCCAATTCAGAAATCAGTATTTAGCTTGTGGTCTACATGGCGGGGTATAAGGGATATATTTTCCCACTCAGAAATCAGTATGTAGCTTGTGGTCTATATGGCAGGGTATAAGGGATATATTTTCCCACTCAGAAATCAGTATTTAGCTTGTGGTCTATATGGCAGGGTATAAGGGATATATTTTCCCACTCAGAAATCAGTATTTAGCTTGTGGTCTATATGGCAGGGTATAAGGGATATATTTTCCCACTCAGAAATCAGTATCTAGCTTGTGGTCTACATGGCGGGGTATAAGGGATATATTTTCCCGCTCAGAAATCAGTATGTAGCTTGTGGTCTACATGGCAGAGTATAAGGGATATATTTTCCCACTCAGAAATCAGTATGTAGCATGTGGTCTATATGGCAGGGTATAAGGGATATATTTTCCCACTCAGAAATCAGTATGTAGCTTGTGGTCAACATGGCGGGGTATAAGGGATATATTTTCCCACTCAGAAATCAGTATGTAGCTTGTGGTCTATATGGCGGGGTATAAGGGATATATTTTCCCACTCAGAAATCAGTATGTAGCTTGTGGTCTATATGGCAGGGTATAAGGGATATATTTTCCCACTCAGAAATCAGTATTTAGCTTGTGGTCTATCTGGCGGGGTATAAGGGATATATTTTCCCACTCAGAAATCAGTATGTAGCTTGTGGTCTACATGGCAGGGTATAAGGGATATATTTTCCCACTCAGAAATCAGTATTTAGCTTGTGGTCTATATGGCGGGGTATAAGGGATATATTTTCCCACTCAGAAATCAGTATGTAGCTTGTGGTCTATATGGCGGGGTATAAGGGATATATTTTCCCACTCAGAAATCAGTATTTAGCTTGTGGTCTATATGGCAGGGTATAAGGGATATATTTTCCCACTCAGAAATCAGTATTTAGCTTGTGGTCTATATGGCAGGGTATAAGGGATATATTTTCCCACTCAGAAATCTTTATTTAGCTTGTGGTCTATCTGGCGGGGTATAAGGGATATATTTTCCCACTCAGAAATCAGTATGTAGCTTGTGGTCTATATGGCGGGGTATAAGGGATATATTTTCCCACTCAGAAATCAGTATTTAGCTTGTGGTCTATATGGCAGGGTATAAGGGATATATTTTCCCACTCAGAAATCAGTATTTAGCTTGTGGTCTATATGGCAGGGTATAAGGGATATATTTTCCCACTCAGAAATCAGTATTTAGCTTGTGGTCTATATGGCAGGGTATAAGGGATATATTTTCCCACTCAGAAATCAGTATTTAGCTTGTGGTCTATCTGGCGGGGTATAAGGGATATATTTTCCCACTCAGAAATCAGTATTTAGCTTGTGGTCTATATGGTGGGGCATAAGGGATATATTTTCCCACTCAGAAATCAGTATTTAGCTTGTGGTCTATATGGCAGGGTATAAGGGATATATTTTCCCACTCAGAAATCAGTATTTAGCTTGTGGTCTATCTGGCGGGGTATAAGGGATATATTTTCCCACTCAGAAATCAGTATTTAGCTTGTGGTCTATATGGTGGGGTATAAGGGATATATTTTCCCACTCAGAAATCAGTATGTAGCTTGTGGTCTATATGGCAGGGTATAAGGGATATATTTTCCCACTCAGAAATCAGTATTTAGCTTGTGGTCTATCTGGCGGGGCATAAGGGATATATTTTCCCACTCAGAAATCAGTGTGTAGCTTGTGGTCTATATGGCAGGGTATAAGGGATATATTTTCCCACTCAGAAATCAGTATTTAGCTTGTGGTCTATATGGCGGGGTATAAGGGATATATTTTCCCACTCAGATATCAGTATTTAGCTTGTGGTCTATATGGCGGGGTATAAGGGATATATTTTCCCACTCAGAAGTCAGTATGTAGCTTGTGGTCTATATGGTGGGGTATAAGGGATATATTTTCCCACTCAGAAATCAGTATGTAGCTTGTGGTCTATATGGCAGGGTATAAGGGATATATTTTCCCACTCAGAAATCAGTATGTAGCGTGTGGTCTACATGGCGGGGTATAAGGGATATATTTTCCCACTCAGAAATCAGTATTTAGCTTGTGGTCTATATGGTGGTGTATAAGGGATATATTTTCCCACTCAGAAATCAGTATGTAGCTTGTGGTCTATATGGCGGGGTATAAGGGATATATTTTCCCACTCAGAAATCAGTATTTAGCTTGTGGTCTATATGGCAGGGTATAAGGGATATATTTTCCCACTCAGAAATCAGTATTTAGCTTGTGGTCTATATGGTGGGGTATAAGGGATATATTTTCCCACTCAGAAATCAGTATGTAGCATGTGGTCTACATGGCAGGGTATAAAGGATATATTTTCCCACTCAGAAATAAGTATGTACCATGTGGTCTACATGGCGGGGTATAAGGGATATATTTTCCCGCTCAGAAATCAGTATGTAGCTTGTGGTCTACATGGCGGGGTATACGGGATATATTTTCCCACTCAGAAATCAGTATTTAGCTTGTGGTCTATATGGCGGGGTATAAGGGATATATTTTCCCACTCAGAAATGTAATTTCCTACCAGGCTGGATACAAAGTATTTTATCAAGAACACATGAACCAATCCGATCTCTTCATTCATGTAAAACTGTATTTAGAAAACAACCAGATCCCTTCTACCAGTCTTGACTGTCATTAAAATAACGCAATAAACATACATGAACCCTCACATTTATTGACTCGTATCATTTTTTGGCCATGCTTTCTATATATGTTTTGGTTATAATCTTAATCAGATTTGTTTTTTACACACATCACCATAACATTGGGTCAGTAGAAACAAAATTGACACTGAAATTGGAATAAAATGTATTTTGTAGCACTGACTTTTATTCAGCGGTTAGATTTCATGCCATATGTGTATTTGTATTCAATTTATTTGAACATTGTTAGTTTGGTTTTCTAATTTTATACTAGTTCCTGTCTGCATGTGTTGGCTGTTAGTCAGAAGATTTGTTAACCACCAAACATTGCCTTACATTACAAAATACAGTGATCCCTCGATATACCGCTGTCATCGGGGTCCAAGAAACCGACCCCGCGTTACCGTAACAACTTCTATACATAGCATTTACACTGCACAGTTGTTATGGTGAGTGATCATCCACTGTAATTATGATGCTCAAAACAATGTGTGAAGTCTATTTCTGGTGTCCCCGCTGTGATAACATTGCTGGAATATTGCTCAAAAATAGCACAAAACCATACCCACTCACTCACTAACTAAAGTCAGAGACCATGGTATATTCCAGCACTGAACCTATTATACCGATTGGTATATGGTCTCTGCAAAAGCTTAATGTTTCATTAATTGATCACAACTGATAACATAACCAATCACTGGATTGTTTTGTCCTGACTTGTTTATTTACAGACTGCAATCATATAGCTGGAATATTGATGAGAGCAGTGTAAACATCAATAACATTGTAATGGAATTTACACACCGTATTACAAAGCTTACAAACTTAAACAATGTTTTCATATTTATCACATTGTTTGCATCAATCGCCATGGTATAATTCTATATAACATGATACCTTATTGTATAAAGTAAACAACACTTACCTATTTCAACAGACGTGGTTAAAATGTTAAAGTATTTCAACTTAATGACTTTGTTAATCCAGTTGAAGCAACTGATAAAAACGAAAGTACGATTATTTCCGTCAAACAATAACTAAATCACATTAAACCATACAAGACACTGTTGACTGAGAGATCACGAAGAATCCAAACGCTTTGCCTCAGACAGCTATGTCTGCAAATGTGAATTTTCAAAACGTCACATCATCTTACTCTGGGAAAATACCTTCCACAAAATTTCCAAGAGGCCAAGTCACAATTTCCCAATCGCCCCCTCTATCGGGTAACCCACAAACTTACTACTTCCGTGTTTGCAACGCGAATTCAAATGAAGTAAGACTTTCATAAAGTGAATAAAACGACAATATATGAATAAACACAAGTGACATTTAAAAAAAAAACGGGATAAAATTAACACTTTTCTTAGCTATTACCGAAAATGGTTCCCCTTTGAATTTGGTCGCCAGGTACTGACGTGCTCGCGCAGTCCCGTGGGGAACCACCGGTTTTCCGTTGATGTTATAGTTTGTTTTAATATGTTTGACACGCCCAACAGCCGTGAGATTATTCCTCTATTTCAGGGATACTGGTGTGTGATATTAACTATTCTAGAATGCTTTTTAATGAGCACATTATTTATAACCTAACGTATATTTCCTATCATCACAGACAAGACTGTTCTTCGTCAATAAGCCACTGCTTGATCGCAATCCTAAATTTTGAATAAAGCATTAGCAAATAAAGGGAGGTAATACTAATAAACATCCGGGGGGATTCCCCAGAATTTAGTCATAAGACTCGGGCTTTTTAGAACTAGAAGATGAGGACACTGACTATTTCGAAATACATACACTGACAAATTGCAGGTAGATTCACAAATTAAATGGAACGTAAGAACCAACAGTTTTAGCATATCTCTAACACCCTTTCAACAATAAACACACAAGTAGCAATGGTATAACAATTTTGTTTGGCGTCTTGAAAATTTAAATATTTATCATATAATGATTATTTCCAATACTTCCTATTTCTACTGTCAAATTTGATGGAGTTTCGAGTGCATGGTTATTGAATAATTTCTAATTAGTGAAAAACGTTTGTTGTTTAACGCAGCACTCAGCAATATTGACTGCCTTCTGTAAATAATTGAGTCTCGACCAGACAATCCAGTGGTTAACTTCGTGAGTGAAAAATAGTAAATACTGTAAAATGTGCCCGTTAATGTATTCACCAAGATTAGCTTTTCTCAAATGTAGTCTTTTTTTTTTTTAAATCTTTAACATTTTGGGGGCATTTATGAAGATATGAATTTAAAAACTGGAGTGCACATGTAAATCCTCGTAAATCTTATAAATAAGTTCAACAATGATAAGTTGAAGGATTTAATCATTTATACAAACAGTACAGACAGCAATACAAAAGTAGTGACATCATTCAAATGCAACACACGCCCCGCCCACTCAATTATAAGCCAATCAGAAAACAGTAATCACTCGTAGGAATGGCCTATTATTCTTAGATTTGAGAAAACCTAAATGAAAACAAATGGCTTGGTTAGCCAATAACCTCAAAAATTAATAAATCAAAATTAATTAGTCCCTACAATACAAATAAATACAATGAAACAGGACTCTTTTAAGCCAAGACATCCATGTTCATCCAATGTAAATTTTTGTTTGGTGTCTTATCTGCAAAGCACTTAATTCACTTTAATTCACTTTCTTTCATGAAGAGAAAGCATGCATGCGAGCACGCGCGCACGCACGAACGCACGCCCACACACACGACCAAGCACAGACACACACAGAGGTTAGAATAGGTCTTCTGTTGTTGAGGCGACTATGCTTGTCGTAAGAGGCAACTAACAGGATCGGGTGGTCGCAGACTTGGTTAATGCATGTCATTGTATCCCAATTGTGTAGATCTAGGCTCATGATGTCAGTCACTGTGTTATCTGGTCCAGACTCAATTATTTACAGACTGCATCATAAAGTTGGAATATGTTATTTTATCAGTGTCAGGGACAAATGTGAAAGTATATTCAAGTATAATGCTTGTGTTGTCACGTCTCATTCGTCACCACTCGCCCCTTTCCGTAACCTGCAAGAAGACGGCTTGTCCCGGAATAACACGAGTTGGTCACGAATGGTCACGTCTTGGAATGTTGGAGGGGAGACAACTCTTCATCACATGGAGGCCATCAGTGCTCCAAGGGCAGTACAAGTATGTGTGTACCTCGTCAAGGTCAAGACATCTATGTTCATCCAATGTACATGATCCGTTTATTTGACAAATACCTTGTCTGTCTGACAGTCCCTGAAACGTTATTTTCCCTACCACCCAGCCCTTACTGTAATGCGATAGCTCCGAATTCAGCAAGTCTAGATTTTTCACAGGTACTGAGTCTCCTTTTCAATTTAAATGTAGTTACTAAGCGTCTAATAAATACTCTGTGCCCCTTTTGACAATAATAATAGGCGTCCAATGAAATTACCCTCATGAGCGCAATGAGCGCATGTGCCAATCCAGAAATACTAAGACTGTTTAGTGGCCTTTAGTACGGTGGCCCATACCCGCCACTGGTGAGATCATTTTTCACTGTATGCCTCTATATTTTATCTGGCGGCCAGATACTTCCACTGGTGAGATTGGTGGCTCGTCAAGCAGGTGATACCTACTTTTAGAATCAAAGCTTAATGTTACGGATACAATCTCCAACCTGTCGATTGCCAGGGCACTGATCTGGGAGTAATTCTGGTCGCACGTGGTTAGCCAATTTGAAACGAAAAGTATCTGGCAAACAGTGAAAAATGATCTCACCAGTGGACGTTGGTTGGTTGATTGGTTTGTTGTTGCCGCCGCACTCAGCAATATTCCAGCTGCATGACGGCGGTCTGTAAATAATCAAATCTGGACAAGACAATCCAGTGATTAATATCATGAGCATCGATCCACGCAGTTGGGATCGATGACATGCATCAACCAAGTCAGCAAGCATGACCACCCGATCCCGTTAGTCGCCTTTTACGACAAGCATAGGTTGCTGAAGACCTATTCTACCCCGGATCTTCACGGGTCCCAGTGGACGTATCTGGCCGCCAGATAAAATATAGAGGCATCCAGTGAAAAATGATCTCACCAGTGGCGGGTATGGGCCACTGTAATTTAGAAGTTGGGATATGTAGCTGATGATAATATATGTTGATAATCAACAGCTTTATGCACGTATTTATCTAGCCTGCTCAGAGGCATCTTCCCGAGGCAAGAGGCAAGTGAGTTAACTGACTATGAAAGTCCAGTTTTCACCCTTGTCGAACTAGGCTGGTATTATGGAGTTACATATTGGCTGGACTAACGAGTCTATGCATAGTCCAATCAAAATCGCGCACCGAAATCGAAATCCGGTTCGTAAACTGTCAAGCAGATTTCGGTCGATTGCATTATTCGCAAAGCATGTGCACCGCTAACTCGTTTTCAACAGATATTTTCTAAATCTTTTCATGTTTTTAATCAAGGTGCTCACATGATTTGATGCATTTCGCGATGTAAGACTCGTTTTATCACAATATAGATCTTGATTATCGATCAGATTGTCTTGACTGGGCGCCGCCGTTTTGTTTGAAACACATGCAAGTGATACGAGATGTGGAATCTGATTGGTCCATATAGGAGAGGCATAGACAGGACATAACTCGTAATAGCCACTGGTGGCGCTCCGATCGAGCCCAGGAATTCCAGCCCAGTGGAAACTGGACTTTTATAGCCAGTTAGCGCTCTTGCCTCGGGAAGATGGCTCAGAGGCTCATATTTCACCCAAAGTCAGCAGCAAATGTCATTAAAAATTCCTATATCGGAATTAAAAATTTCACAATTCATGTTGATACATGTATAAGTGCCAGGTAAAAGAAAGTATAGACAAAAAACTGGTTTTGAACAAATAATTACAAACGTTATAAAAATGTTACAAGGCTGAAGACCCGTGAAGATCCTGGGTAGAATTGTTCATCAGCAACCCATGCTTGCAGTAAAAGGTGACTATGCTTGTCGTTAGAGGTGAATAACAGGGTTGGGTGGTCAGGCTTGCTGACTTGGTTGATGCATGTCATCGATCCAAATAGCATGGATCGATGCTCATGATATCACTCACTGGATTGTCTGGTCCAGACTCGATTATTTACAGACCGCCGTCATATTGCCGAGTGCAGCGTTAAACAACAAACAAACAAACAAAACAAAAACTAGGTTGAAAATAATAACCGAAACACTGCATAAGTAGGGTCCAAAACAGCTGTGACACCCTTTCAAAAACATCACATTTGAATAACCATTTCTTGTTTTATTTTTAACCACCATCAAACATGTGTATACTTTCTTTTGCCCAGCAGTTCATATAAGTAATAACTGATGTTATGGATATGTAGAGGTAACCTGTACTTCACTGATTACAGGACCAATAGGTGAGGTGAAATGGGGTTTAACGTCGCGTCCAAGATTATTGCACTTATATAGCGACGTGCATGTGTGTGCTTGCTTGTACTAGTCCGGACTGATGCCGACTTATAGTGCTAGCTCACTGAGATACCATGCCGCAGTTTACCATGAATACCCCACTCAGACACAGTATACTGACTCCGAGCCGACCAGTCCTTCTTTTAGCCCCTTAATGCCGAGCGCCAGATAGGGTATCAACAAGTACCAGCTTTTAACGTCTTTTGGTATGACGCGGACGGGGATCAAACCCCGGACCTTCCGCTCTCCGGGCGGACGCTTTACCACTAGACCACGGAGGCGGTCAACAGGACCAATAAATAGGAAGTGGTTTTAATGCATAGTTTTATGTTATTGCATTGAATACAATCTCACAATATAATGTTCAAATACTTCTGAATTTAGAGGATAAGAGCTTTTAAAAAATCCCAATTTGGTTTAGAATCCTAGATATATCCTTGTTATTGCAATTGTAGCATATTGTAATGGCGATGTTGATAATTCCTTCCTTGTATTAGAGATATGGCGAGATGGTGATGTCACTTTTGACTTAAGCTGGGGTGTGAGTGTGTACAGGGCTCTTATGAAAATAGAAAATGGAGATAAGCTACACTGGATATTTGAGGATGAGGTCAAATACGGATATCGTGAGAGCAGTAGACTAGTATCTCAACTCTCCATATAGTTTATTCCCCCAGATTTATCACGTACATAGT